GTTATGTTTGGCCACCAAAATGGACCTTAGCCAAATGGAACTGTTTGGTGGAAACTGCCCTAACAAATTTTTTAACTCTTTTTCTTGGCAATCACAGAATTTCTTAAGCATCATCACATCAACACCCCAATACTGCTACACTCCAAAGAAAGTTGGCACAGATTTGGGTAAACCCTTCAACGATCACACTTTCAACAATAGTTTTACTCAGCTCCAGGCAGGGGCAAACAATTGTTTTCTTGGCACCAACCTGGATCTGAGTATGACATCTTTCCTCTACATCTATTTGTCCCATTCAATGGCAATTATACAATCAACATCAACATCAACTTAAGCAGTTCTCCCAGAGAGCGGGTTCTTCAATACCAATCTTACTTAGCTCCAGGTGCAGGCAAACAATTGTTTTTTCTTAAAAGTCAACTTGGACGTAAGTAAGTTACTCTCATTCAAATTACAACAATCAGTGCAACCATGAAAACCGAGCATCTATTCGGCCCCCTGGACCTAATAGTGCTCGGTCAGGGGCAAATAGTATGAACAAATGCAAGTATGAAAACAAAACATATCCGACTGCAATGTTAGAAGTGAAATTCTTTCAAAGGCACAGCTAGCCCCACGAAATAGTAGCAAGAAGAATGAGAAATTGTCTTGACCAACCTAAGGGGGCAACTCATCAGGAAGACCGAGCCCTAGTATAGCAGAAAAATGAAAACAAAGGAGAGAGAAAAAGCAAAAAACTTCAAATCATCCCAAAAGTAACTTCAACTTTCATCAACAAGAGGAACTTCAAGAGTAGCATCCACAATCTTATCTGGGCCATCTTGGGAAGGAAAAGTAGAGGTAGCTCCAACTTCTTGAGAAGTAGAAGTTTTCTTAACCATATCTCCCACAGCTTCAGTTTCTAGGGTTTCAACCTCTTCAACGTTCACTGTCTCATTGGCAGTATCGCTCTCCAGAGTCTTGGTCACAGAATTAGTTCCTGAGGAAGTCTTAGCTGGAAGAATGGCAAGGGTAGCAATAGTCTTCGGACCTAAGGACCTTGAGGGAACAGGAACATCTTGAAACAAAGGAGACCCTTCAGGAATCTGAGCAGCGGCCAGAGCACTTGTCCAACCCTTCAGAAAAGCTTGTCCCGCAACACCAGCACTTCTTCTTTGTAAGCAGCCCCAGCTTCATCCCAACCTTGCTGCCAATACTTAGTCTCCAAAGCAGAACGTTTAGCGGCCATCACCACAATATCAGCCTCCAGCTCTGCCACCTTCCCTTTAAGTTGGGCCTGTACCCCAATGGCAGCTTCTTTGGACTTCTCAACCAAAGTAATAACCTTGCTCAGACGGAATACCTCCCTCTCAGCAGTCCTGCGTCCCTTCTTCTCGGCTTACAAATTCATTGTTAGTCATTCGGCATTCAAAACAAGGCAAAAAACATAGAAATACTAGGAGGAAGGACTCAGACTTGGGTAGCCATCCTTTTGGCCCGTTTGTTTTCAGAAGTAGAATGGAGGGGATTGATAGTGAGGAGATTAATAGTGAGGGGATTGATAATGAGGGGATTGAGTAAAATTATATTTGTTTTGATGATAGTTATTGGTGTAGGGATTGTTAAATTATTTTTATATAAAATAATAAAACAAATAAAAGAAATACAAAAACATTAAACATTAATGCTTTAAAAAAAAATGCTCAACGTGTAAAAAATTTTAAAAAAATAAAAAATAAAAAAAAAATTCAGAAAAAAATAAAATAATGATTTTTACATAACAAAAAATTAAATATTAATGTTCAAAAAAAAAAATGCCCGACATGTAAAAAATAAAATAAAAAAAAAAATATTCTAGTCCGCTGGACTATTTTTCTAATACCAAGTCCTGGAGGCTCATCCGAATCCCATCTGTAAGGCCTATCCTAAGCCCTTTGGCTTAGCAGTCCCTTCCTCAACTCTGTAAACAAACAACACATTAAATAGGGCCCACAGCTATTCTAATCCCAATCCCCCTCTCATACCCCAAAACAAACGCGGCCTTTGGGACATCCGTTCAAATTGGAACTCAGTCCTAACAGGAAACTCCCAATTACCACCGACTTGTAGAAAATCGTCATTAAGTTTGTCCGAATCAGGTAAGCCAATTACAAGATGACAATCGGCCGAGCAAACACGGAGATAATAAGTATTGTGATCCTTGTTGTGTGAAGGGGTATAGCAACCCAAAATGTCCCAGATGTCCAAGCTCAAACCCAACTGCCTGTTAAGAGCGGAGATGCCACAGACAACTCGTAAAAAATTGACTGACACCTGCATAGGGGTAAGCTGAACTTGGTGCAGGAAGCGGCGCTCCAAAGGATCAAGGGGAAATCGGATCCCTCCTTCAACAATGGCTGCGACTGGGAAAGCAACGATACTTCTGGTGCCCATGCGCTTGGCGTCAACCTTCGCCAACGAAAGGGTCACATCGTCGGGGATACCATAGTCTCAGTGAAACATGGCCATTGCCTCAAGGGTATCAACTAACGACCGGAATTTCCCCATTAACCAGACCTAATAGGACAAAGACAAAACTTAAACTAAGCGAAGAATAGAACCAGACGCCGAAAACAATGGCACAAGGGCCAAAGAGGGCGATCAAGATAGAAAAGAACAAGAAAAGATAAATTTCAGGGGAGCTTAAAGAGATTAAAATAGCAGCGACAAATAGGGAACCTTGAAACGAGAACGAGAAGGGCAACGGAACGTCTGGGCAGAGCACCGTCGAGACCAACTCAAAGGGACGGCGAGGGTTCTGGACTCTCTAAAAGTTTAGAGATAGATGAAAGGGTTTGGATTGATAACCCTAGAGCATTTATTGCACTCAGCCGGCGTGAAGGTACATAAATCACGACCATCAGTATGGAATTGGCGCACTATCTCTGTGCACTAGTACCACGCCGCCACGTGTCACCATGAAAGGACACATGCAGGGGGCGTGTGTTAGGATTGAACCGTCACCAAGGCCGAACTAGGGCAGATCCGAAGCGACGCGACGCTTGGAGTACAGAGCAATAGCTCCCCCAAGGGGAACCTTAGCGCGAGCTAGGGAGCAAATGAAGGGACTAAATATAAAATGAGTCGGATCCAAGTCTTGGGCTGGCCCAATCCATTAGACTCAAGTCCTGAGGAGCAGGATAAACAAATGGGCCAGTTAGATTAGTCCAATTACATCATCAACAATCCACCCAAGTCCTCAAGCACTTGGGCCCAACCCGTAGTGGAAAGGTCAGTCTAGCCACGATGTTGGGCTGGGCCGAGCTGCGGGATCTGATCCTTGGACTGAGCCCAAAAGGGGCTGAGCCTATACAAAGATATCCTACTGGGCCAGCCCATCTCTACAAGCAATCTCATAGGGGGCCGAGCCGAGGCACGACGGTACCGAGCTAAAAGAACCCAACAAAGAAACGTGGAAGCTATGAATGCATGCACATGGAGGATGCCACCTCAGCTGGTCCCCTCTCCCTAGAATCACGGAAACAGTTGATCGAGGGAATGTGACTTGTTACAAGCATGGTTATAATGAGTATTACACCCTTGTTAACTACCAGATGGTCCCCCACCTTGAGCAATGCTAAAGGAAACTTTGCAGCACCAGAGCTCCATGAAACCATCTTGAGCAACAAGCAAGGAATTCTATGTAAACTACACTGACTTCACACTGAAGGTAGCTGATCTAAGCTAAACCATATTCACTTAAACACAACTCTCTGCACTTAGAGAGTACCTCTCATCTTCTTCGATCACTCACTCCCACACAGGAGGGGTTATCCGGCCAACCCCGGCCGAGTAGCTCTAACAGTGCTTATTGCTATAGGGTCTCGATTCCTGGATAGTCCAATCAAGTGCGGAGCTCCGATCCATAATCATCTAGTGCGGTATTCAGTACGCACAATTATCCTCTAATATTTTTACTACTTTGTTTCTAGTTCATATTTGGTCAAAGTCAACATTTAAAATATTGAATTTGCTAGCTTGCTAAGAAGCATGGACACTTCTACGAAGGAAGCGTGTTGTGACTCTTTGGACACTCCTAAAAACATGTCTTAACACCTTTTCAACATGTTTTGATTAAAAAATCAAATTCATATCAGTGGCAACACTTTGGGGTGACGCTTTTTGAACCCTCCAAATATGTCCCATATGATGAATTCCTTCATTATAACAATGTTTTCCGTTCTTCATAATATTGCTTATGCATCCTAAATATGCTTAGAAACATTTATAAGATAAATACATTACGTGTAATACAATGTTATATAGTTGTTTTGCATTGGTTAGAATGTAATTGTTATGTAATCGATATCTTGATGTTTAATTTTATGAAATATATAGGGTATGTTTGGTTTGTATTTGGGAGATATGTTTTAGAGATAAAAAGTACGAAAAGTTGTTTGGTTTGGTTTTTTTCAAAAGATGTTTTGAAAAATTATTTTGAGAGAGAGTTTTGGAAAAAGTGATTGATTTGATGTGTGTGAGAGAGAGATTTGTTTGGAAAACTTGTTTGGTTTACAAGTTTTGAGAATTTTTTTTGGAAAAATTTGTTTGGTTTGATTATTTTTAAAAACTTATTTGTAGAGAAAAATTTTCAAAATTTTTTCAGAAATACAAACCAAACAAACCCATAGTTTTTTAATATAAAAAAATGTGTTATGTTACATTTTTTTTTATTATCTTTGAATAAATTATTCATATATATAACGTATAACAAAATTTTAAAATTACAAATCTTTAATGTGTCCCAAGTGTGTTGTGTCCTGCATTTTTTTAAAATCGGCATGTCAGTGTCGTGTTGGTATTGTGTTGCATGTCTTTGTTTGTGCTACTTAGCTAATTTGTATTAGTCCTATTGTAGTATATGAATTTGTGTACTTTGTTTTAAGTTTCGGGGTGCTGACATTTTGGTCATAATCGACATTTAAAATATCCAACTGGCTAACTAGAATTAGTTATCTTGACCTTTTAACATTTATCTGCAGATTGAAGAGGTCCGGCTACGGCTTAACGTTGATGTTGATGTAGCTTCAGAATCCTCTCCTGCACCAGCACCAATTGAATCCTTTACAGACATGGTAATCTTATGTGTTTTAAAAACGACATCCACTTTCAATTGGAAAATTAATTTGTTCGAGATGGATTTTGATGGTGTATTCTGTATTTGTTTTCAGTGCTTGCACCCAAGCATCATGAAGGATATTGCCTTTCATGAATACAGTACGCCCACTTCTATTCAGGCTCAAGCCATGCCGGTTGCTCTAAGTGGAAGGGATCTTATGGGTTGTGCAGAAACTGGTAGTGGAAAAACTGCTGCATTCACCATTCCGATGATACAGGTCTTTTGCATGATTTTTTATATGCTTATGGACCTTATATTTCGTCTCAATAAAAAGAACCATTGGTTTGAACAATTAGTTCACAACTAGTGATATTATACTATAGGATGTTACTTTTTCCTCTTCTGTTGCAGCATTGCTTAGTTCAACCTCCTATTCACCGTGGTGACGGGCCTTTGGCATTGGTATTGGCTCCAACGAGAGAACTTGCCCAACAAATAGAGAAAGAGGTGTGATAATATTTTCTCTAGTTTCTGAATATTGAATATTGACATTGTCATCGTGTCTGTTTTAGGCTTTTAGCCTTGTCATAGGACAATTGCACTTTTATGTAATTTCCAAAAGATTATGTGACAATGTATGATGTTCGAATTTTTGGTTTTGACATATGGAATATGTACATTCCAATTCTACCTGCTTTTGGCTCTCATTGCTGCTTTTTGAAATTTTGTTCAGGCATCATAGAATGTTGTGACTTTGGTTCGGTATATTCTATTGTTTTTGTTTTTCTGTCCATACTTCATCTTCTAATTTTTTCAAATCTTGATTTGACAACTTTGCATATATCAATCGTACATATTATAAAAATAAAATAAATAAATAAATAACAATAATCATACACCAAACACGCCCTTTCTGTTTTTGTACAGGGTAAGATAACTTTCACAGGAAAGGAGGGTTGTTGTGTTCTCTTTTAGAAAATTAGTTTACAAATAATTTTGGATACATTGGTATACTGAAAACCTTCGGGTGTTATTTTATCACACACAACGAAAAATCCATTGGCACAGAATCCAAACTTGCACTTGGCTTACATAGTGAATGAAGGGTTATCCTAAGACAAACACTCCTAAAACAAAAAATTGTTCAACAATTTTGTCTGAGAAGGTAATCTCGGTGATGATGAGCATTGTTCTTCATTGCTGAAGTAAACAAATAAAAATCCAGGTGCTTTTATGTGTGATTATGCTTTGTGGATTGAGTATTTTATGTCCACTATTGTTGTGTATGTTCCTTATAAATTACTGATTACTGACACTTTTTCTTTATACTGATTTGAACTCTACGTTTACTGACTGAATAAGGACACGTATGATCATATATTTGGGGTTCCTTAAATCAAGCATGACATGAGTTTTATTTGAATCCTGATTTCCATTTGTAGGTCAAAGCTTTTAGTAGATCTCTGGAGTCCTTCAGAACTGCAATAGTTGTGGGTGGAACAAACATTGCTGAGCAGGTGCAGATTTGGTTATAGATTTATTTTTAGTAGTTGTTGAAATTCTCGAGTCATGATATATGTGGAGTAAATGGTTTATGTTTTATAGATGTTGGAATCCTCTAGGAAATGTTTTGTACTAATTGCTATGTGGCTTCATTAATTTTTTGGTTTCTTATAGTCTATAGAGAAGGATGCTCCAGTCATGTAGTCATGACTTGTAAGGACAATCAAGAAAATTTTTACATTTTTCTTATTTGGGTCACAACAACTGGGCCACCGTAGGCAATGGATCTAGCCTCGCCCATGCGATCATGCAGCCAACTAGCTAACTCACTTAATATAGAAATTACTTAGTCACTTCAAGTTGTTTGTTTTATTTAGATTGTCATGCTTCTATTGGTTTCAATAAAATTAGTGTTTAGACAATTTAAGAAACATGCATTACTAATAATGAGGAATTGTTTGAAGTTATGTTATGACATGAAATATATATTACTTGACAATATATAATAATAGAAATAAAAACATGAAATCAATAAAAACAACCCATGTACTCTTTGCTTGAGCCAAAGGAGAAAATCATAAATCTGAAGTCATGTTGTCAACATAGGTTCAAAACCTATATACGGATATATGGGTTTATGAAAATATACTGTACTAACACTCCGTTTGGATCGCAAGAGGAGGTGAGAAAATAAATGATTGTGGTTTCTCGTTTAGATGAGAAAAGAAATGAAATGATTTTTGGTTTCTCACCATTATGTTTGAATGAATAAAATAGAAGAGAATGTGGTTTCTTACCTATCTTGTTTGGATAAAGTAAATAAGAGAAAAGAAAGGAAAGTGTTGTATTTTATTTTACCAAAACAACCTAAGCTATACTTTTTTAGAAGGGCAATTTTGGTATTTTAGAATACTTTTATTAAACCCAATTCATTTCTCACCAAATCTCACTACTTTCGATGAGAAACAAAACATAGGTTTGGTAAGAATATTTTTCTCACTATCTCTCATTATTTGTCACCTACTTAACCATCCAAACAAATGAAAGAGTTTCCTATTCTCACCATTTCTTTTCTTTTCTCACCAAATCCCTCATCCAAATGGAGTGTAAAACAATTTGAGCATGAAATAAAATAATTATAATAAAATATGATATGAATTACAAAGGCACCGATATTTCATCTTCTCAAGAAATAAATAATTATGGAGAATGCAAATTATATTGATCGTAAGTTTTAGGGTGAATTACAATAACTACCCCAAGTTTTGGTAAAATTACACCTAACTCCACAATTTTGGTATAATTACACAAGCCTTCCTTAAATGTTAAAGTTCATATAATAAATTAGTGCATGTTGTTAAAGTATCATTAAAAAAGTAACATGCCATGAAAGAAAATTATTAAATGTCAAAGTTGGCCCTTATATTTTACTTATTTATTTTTTTAATAATTTAATTATTAACCATATATAATAAATAATATCATATATATATATACACACATGCATGTAGATGTATATGATAATAGATTGTCCCCACCTCTCTCTCTTTCCTTCTTAATTTCACATCATTGGTGGGTGGCTTCCCCAACCCCTTCCCCCCCTCCCGGCCCCTCTTTTCTTTCCATTCACCAATGTTGCCTACCTAGCACCCCTCAACCTCCATTCCTCTTCCCCTTATCTCACCTCCAATGGAATCATTGAATCATTCAAAAACAATTGTTTATGGGTTTGATGTGGTGATTGTAGATGGAAAAGATAAGTTGGTTGACGTTGGATCGGGAAAGAGGGAAAGGATAGCATTAGAGGGGGATGAACATGGGGGGTTGACACCTAGGTATGTTCCTTATAAATTACTGATTACTGACACTTTTTCTGTGGATCATTTGATGTTGGACTTTGGGGGGGAAGGGGGTCAATGTTGGAGGGAAAGGAACAAGGGTGGGTTGATTGATGTTGGACAAGGGTGAAAACGGATGGGTAGACATTTGAGGGAGATGAAGGGGGCTAGTCAACGCTAGAGGGAGGGGGAGGGTAGGGTAGGGGTGGATCAATCTTGGAAGAGAGGCAAAGAATACAATGATGAGATTGAAGCCGACACAGTCTCTGTTATGCTGGCGACCATGGTGGATCCGTGTTTTGCCGGTAGAAGATGGTGGAGGAAGAAGGGGGCCTCACTATTTATGGTTCAGTGTGATTGAGATTCACAGGTGTGTAGGCTGTAGCGGCTGCCGTAGCGGTCGTAACGGTGCCGTAATAGCCTGTTACGCACCGTTATGTAACAGTTCCAAATTGTTTCTTTCGAAAAAACACACAAAAAAAAGCTGAAAGTGGGGGAAGAAGGATAGAGAGAAGAGGGAAGATAAAGAGAGAAAATGGAGGAGCAAGAGATATATATAGAGAGAGAGAGAGAAGAGGGAAGATTAAGAATATGTTATTGATTTTTTGAAACTATAAGACCTATGCTATTCTATTCAGCTGCTATCACTAAACTATTTTGTTTGTGTGTGTATATCTATATATTGTTTGAAAATAATAATAATAATAAGAAGTGTGGTCATTATCTATTTGGCTTGGTTAAAATATGTATATATATATATATATATAATAGTTAGTAATTGATTTTTTGTAAAATATAAAATCATTAATTATTAAAATAAAATGTAAAAAACTTAGTTTATAGTGATTTAAAAATATGAAATATATTGGATCATTCTTAAAAATTTACAAAAATTGATCAATATTTATTTTTAACCAAATAAATATGATCATGGAAAAAATATGCGTATCGGTAAGTTTTTTTCAAATTGTGCGAAAAATAAAAAAATTCACGGTTCCGGTTACCGCAACGGTTACACTACGGCCTTTACGCCCCGCAACCGCGTCACCGCCGCCGTTACGGCGACCGCAACTGCTTTTCAGAACCTTGGTAGGGGTGGATCAATCTTGGAAGAGAGGCAAGGAATACAATGATGAGATTGAAGCCGACACAGTCTCTGTTATGCTGGCGACCATGGTAGATCCGTGTTTTGCCGGTAGAAGATGGTGGAGGAAGAAGGGGGCCTCACTATTTATGGTTGTAATCCTGTTGGACGAGGGGAAGTGTTTCATCACTAGTGGGTAGGAATCAGGGGAACAAGAATATAGTGATGAGATTGAAGCCGACACTGTCTCTGTTATGCTTGCGACCATGGTGAATCTATGTTTTGCCTATTTTGGTTGGTAGAAGAAGGAGGAGGAAGGAGGGAATGACGGCTCTAGTGGTGGTTTTCACTATGGTGGTGGCTGTGTGGTGGTGTCTTTTGGGTGTGCATTGGAGTAATAGTGGAGCTAGGTGGAGACCAAAAAGAGAAAGAAAGAGGACAAAAAAATAATTTCACAATACTAGAAAAGGGTAAAAGATCACTTCACATTGTCCATTGGATCTGTTATGATTTCTGTTATTAGAGGGGTGGTTGACATCTGTGAGGCACGCACACGAGACACGACATGGATACCCGGACACGTAAATTTTCAAAAAATGGAAGACACGACACGTTAGGGACACACTTAATGTACATAATTTTATTTATTTATTATATGTAAAATTAAAAAAATGTATATATTTATTTATTTACTTCAATATCAAATATCATTTACAAATTAATTTTTTCCTACAAATAAAAAATAATTTATTCTATGTATGTTTAGGTTGAGCAAATGAGAATACCTAAAAAATAGAAAAAGGAAAAGAGGAGAAAAAAAAGATTTTAATTAAAATATATATATATATATATATAAAGGGGACACGTTAGAAGAAAGGGAGAGGAAAAAAAAAATGAATAGAATAGAAAAGAGAGAGAGAGAGTTGAACATGTAGAGAAGAAGAGAGAGTTGAACACAAGTGAGAGATAGAATCGATGAGTCAAACACACACACACATAGATATATATATATATATATAAAGAGAGAGAGAGAGAGAGAGAGAGAGAGAGAGAGAGAGAGAGAGATGAACACGCAGACAGAGAGACAAATAGAAGAAGAAAAACGACGAAGAACATATTTGAAGAAATGAAGAACAGGTTCGAAGAACATACCTCGATCTAGGGCTTCAACAGGTTCTTCTTCACCCTTTCTTTCTCTTTCTCTCTCTTTATATTCAATAGGTTAGGGTTTTTCTCTCTGTGTCTCTAACATGTCCACAACGTGTCCAAGAGTGTCTGAAGCGTGTTTGGCTGGAAAAATTCAAAAAAAAAAAGAAAAAGACACGTTAGGTAGAGTGTCCAACACGTGTCCACCGCATGTCCGACGTGTGTCTATGTCTGTGTCTGTGTCCGTGTTCCGACATGTGTCGGACACCCATTTGCTGCCTCCGAAGAGGTGTCTGTACTTTATAGGTTGACATAATTATGCCAAAACTGTTAAGCTAGGTGTAATTTCGCTAAACCTTAGGGGGGGTCATTGTAATTTACTTGAAGTATTATTGTAATCCAAAGTAGACCATACGACTAAGCAACATCTAAATACAAAATGGAAAATAAAAACTAAACACATCATAGATTATTAAATGAATAAAATTTTAATCCATAATTGTTGAAGAAATAACTGTTAGGATCTAGGATTGCTATTATTGTTCATTTACTTGTAATATTAAGGTTATTTTACAAAATTTATTGTATATTGATTTATAATTGGGTAGATGAAAACCTACCACTACTACTACTGTTGAATTTGTCCATTTAGAGTTAGTCACCCATTGTTGCTTAAAGGGGGAAAAAGGGTTGGAAGGTCCAGCCCAAGACGCCACCTAGCTGCCCTGTTGAGTGCTCAATTTTCTGGGGAAGCCCCCTTAGGTGGGCTTCGATCAATTATTTGTTTCTTCCTAATGCTTGTAATGTTTCTTTGTTTTTTCCCTCATATTTATTATGTTTAAATTAACTTCTCCTAATCTCCTTGTGTGCTTTTTGTTGCTGAATGCCATGATAGAGGTCTGAGCTACGAGCAGGAGTGAATATAGTGGTTGCTACTCCCGGAAGATTTATTGACCACTTACAGCAAGGAAACACTTCTCTATCTAGAGTTTCATTTGTTGTTTTGGACGAAGCTGATAGAATGCTTGATATGGGCTTTGAACCACAGATAAGAGAAGTGAGTGGTATCTCAATATTTTTACTGAAACTGCTCTCCACTTGTCACCTTGCTTAGATAAATCTCATTGTGTTTTAAATGGTCGTTACCCCCTTGCCATTCATAATTTGTTCTATTTCTTGTCTCTTATTCTTTCTTTCTTAGTTTGTGAATCTAAATTATATCTCTTTCTAAAGGATGTTCCTCGAGTGTATGCGTTTGCTGGAAGATTGAGCATAAGCACACAGCTGACTGAATTTTTTGTGCATAGACAGTATTGATATTGACTTGTTTTTTGTGTTTCACTTTATAGCTGAAATACCAACATATTTGTTGTACAACTCTGATTTTGTTGTGTGCATATGATAATCAATGAACGACTTATAGTTGCCACTCTTGTACATGTACTTTTTTTATTTGAATTCTCAGTGTTTGGATTAAAAGGCATGGGCTTTTGATGGCCTAAGCTTGTGCATTCGGTGAATTAATTTGTAGAATATGCAATTACTTCTTATGAATATTATACTTTTTAATGAAATTTGTTCATTAATTAAAGTTTCATTTTACTGCTATTAAATACTTATGTAGCTTGATAACGCTGGGGTGGGCAGTTGTTGCATTATTTTCTTTAGCCAGTTTACTTATTAACTTTTATGATTTTGTCTATGTTTGTGTAGTACCAAAAATTTTATGAATATTGTCCCTTTTAGTGAAATTTTTTTATTGATTAAAATTTCATTTTATTGCTATTAACTACTAAATGTAGCTTGATAACACTGGGGTGGGCATTTGTTGCGCTATTTTCTTTAGCCATGTACTTGTAACTTTTATGATTTTATCTATGTATGTATAGTACCCCAAAAAAAATAAAAATAATAAAAATGAGGCAAATACTTGTGCTGTCATCTCATTTTCTGTTCTATAGAATATTTGTCTGTATCGTATTCCTTCTACCTAGAATCTAGCGTGGTAGCTATTGGTTGGCTTTTTCCTTAACATTACGTGTCATATGCTTGGGGAAAAAACAGCATCCTTTGAGTTTATTCATATCCAATTGCAACTTGTTCCCATCCCCTTCTATACCTTGTTTGATTGACTGTATGGAAGAAAAATTTACTGTCTTTAATCCCATTTCAGGTGATGTGGAATCTTCCAGAAAAGCATCAAACTTTGCTGTTTAGTGCAACAATGCCTACGGAGATTGAAGCACTTGCACAGGTTAGGTCCATACTGCAATTTATTTTTTAATTTTTTCTTTGCAAGTCCCATCTTTTCAACTCAAAACCTACTCAATCAGTTTTCTTGACCTGGTAGCATATCCAAGTTTTGGTAGTACTGTTGTATCTTTTATTAGTCTCATGAACCATGAGTTTGTTTTTATATACTAGCTACGTTCTTTAAATGTGGAATCGGAACCTTCAAAACCTATCAATATGTACTTTTGTTGTACAATTGTTGGAATAATTTTGCAAACACATTGCTACATCCCATCTCACATCAGTTAGGTGTAGGAAAGTTTCACGGGCTATATAAGTGAGTAACAACGCATTTTAAAAAGCTGTAAGGGTCTAGCCCAAAGCAAACAATAACATTACAGTTAGGGATTGAGACGTTGTAATTTGTATCAGAGTGGGACCTACCTTGTGGTGTGTGTGTCATCCATGGTGGGAGCGAAGTCTATATGAGCCACCTCTTGAATCCCATGAGCGTGAGCGAAGTGTTGTGCCAAGCTAAGTATTACATGACGCACCACATGAGGACTGTGGTTCCGAGGGGTGAATGTTACATTCCACTCCACATCAGTTAGATAGGAAAGTTTATGAGCTATACCAGTGAGTTCACATCCCTACCAAGTAATGACGCATTTTAAGTCATTAGGGCCTAGCCCAAACCGGACAATATCACTACGACGTTACACACATCGTTATATATTTTACTTGATTAATGTTTGCCGCGAGGAACCTTTTACACAATTAACCTTCCATTTTATTATGCAAATAATCAGGAATACCTGACTAATCCAGTGCGAGTAAAGGTGGGAAAGGTGAGCAGCCCAACAGCAAATGTAGCCCAAATTTTGGTGAAGGTTTCAGAAAATGAGAAGGTTTGTCTCGGCACTAAGCAGAAACTATCATTTTACTGCAAATGACGAAAGCTGCTTTTACTTTCAACAATTTATCATTATACTGGAAACACTGTAATCTGTCTTTGTTTCCATCAATTTTTATAATCAACATGCAGGTATTCTGTGTTTGCATTTATTTGGGGGCCCTGTTTTTTTGGTGTTTGTTTTTTTGTTTTTGAACATGTTTCCTTTCTATTCGTTACTGTTTTTCAAATTTTATGGTCCAAGGGACCAGCATGGCTCGTTATTCATGTCATGGTTACTAGTCCAAACTCTAAAAATCTAAAACATCATTTATTAAATGATAAGTAAATCTAATAGATGGATGAATAAATATAAGAAGAAGATGCGTTAGAGCCATCAGCATGCGTACCGATGAGCTTGGAAATTGATGTATTTTTAGAGAAGTCAGTGGTTAGGATCAACAGCTGCACCAATGAGGAAGGTTTCTGATCAAAATGAAGCCTTTACAAGGCAAAGAAATGGACACAAAATAATTGGTTGAAACTACCTTCCAGCTTTGGCATAAATGGGATGATGTAGCACATTCAGTATTAGCTTATAACATTGGTTGAGACTTTGGGCGCCTTTCTGGTGTTTAATTTTTGAACTTGACCATGTTCTGATGACATGTTCCTTTAGCTCTTGGTGTATTCATGCTGTGAAAGTGACCATGTTCTGATGACATGTTCCTTTAGCTCTTGGTGTATTCATGCTGTGAAAGTGTATGTGATTATCCTTTGGTAGATGGCACTTGCTCAGGTCTGAAGTACAGTAAAACCTTCATGAAGGTGTAGATGGAAGGTTATTGAAGCTTGATCAAATCAGTGGATGGCAATGGTTAGATTGAATTTGAGAATGTGAAATTGGAAATATGCTTTCTATGGGGACAATTTCATTGAAGATAAGCTGGGGATCTGCTAGTTAATTTTGGAGGTGGCATTTGGTTGGGTGGTGATTGTCGTCGAAACAGACAATTTCATTTTTATCCCACCTCTTTGAGTTTTTGCTGATGTTAACAGTTTCATACCACTGTTGGCTGCAAGTAGGGCTGCAAACGAGCCGAGCCAAGCCTGAGTATTACAATGTTCAGGCTTGGCTCGAGCTCAAGTCGAGCTACATTAACTAAGCTCGAGCTTGGTTCAGATTAGCTTGATTAAGGCAACTTTTGTCTATTGAAGCAAATATTTGAGAAGGGAAGCTTGCTCCCAGCCCTGCTTATCAAGGGTTGTTGGAGACCTATGTGGGACTCAAAGATTATAAGAAGACAATTGAGCATTCTAATGTATTTTATATATTTGGCACTTGCAAAAAAGTTCAAATTGGGTCTTAAAATTCAATTGCAATGTATCCAACACAAGAATTATGTGGATTGATAAGAAGTTCATAACCAGTTGACCACCAAAAATGTAGAAATTTAATGTATAAAGAGAAATAGAGAATTGTATTATTGATTGATTTATATTGATTGTATTGATTTTCTGTCTATTACAAATGGTTCCTTATATAGATGTAGGTGTAGTGGAGTAGGTGGTGGTAGGTGAGGAGTAGGTGAGTGTGTGGTAGGTGATGGTAAGTGTGTGGTAGGTGATGGTAAATTTTAACAAAAAACTCACAAGAATTATTTATTATCAATCTTAAAACCATAATATATGGGGAATTTTATACGTTTTGTGGTCTTTGGTTATGATTAATTGTAGTCTATGAAGCACGGACATGTCCCTAAGGCCTACGTACGAGTGTCGGACACGCTGTGGACACGTGTCCGACACTCTCCGCTACATGTCCCCCCTTTTTTTAAGAATTTTTTTCAGTTGGACACGCGGTTGGACACGCGAGGACAGAGAGAACAAACCTTGACCTGTTCTTCTCTCTTCTTCTTCTCTGTTCTTCTCTCTTCTTCACTTCGTCTTTGTCTGCGTCTTGTCTTCTGTCTTCTTCCGTCTCTTCTTTTGTCTTCATCTTCTTCTCTTTCTTCTCTTCTCTTCATCTGATTTCATTTATTCTCTCTCCTCCCTTTTCTGTCTCCTTTCCTTTTTTATTCTCTCCTTTCCTTTTTTATTTTCTTTTGTTTTATTATTTATATCCATGTTTTTATTAAAATTTATAAAATAAGTTATTTTTATTTGAAAAAAAAAAAGGTAATGTATTTATTAATTTTATTATTATTGTAATTTTATAGAGACCAATATATTTTTTTTAAATTTTAGATATATAATAAATAAATAAAATTATATATATTAAATGTGTCCCCAGCGTGTAGTGTCCCCCATTTTTGAAAATTTGCGTATTTGCGTGTCCGTGTTGTGTCTGTGTCCGTGCATCATAGATTGTAGTGTTAGCTATGATTCGGTTATGACTTCTTGTGATTATTATTTTAGTTATAGTCGAAAAGGTCTTTGGTTATACCTTATGTGATGTGTTGGTTATGATTCATTATTTTTTTTAGTTATGACTGAAATTGATTTCATTATGACAGTTGTGATAATCAATACCATAAATGTCATAACTTACATATGATACACATCCTTTTGAGGGTTTGTATTCTAGTATGACCCCATTGTATGTATGTAGTTTTATGTATCTGTGTGTGTTCATGTAATAAGAAAATGACACTATATATGATCAAATTGCTAGGGGACCAATTGAAGCTTTTTTGCCTAAGACAACTACTAAGAAATGATTGATTCTTGGTAAATGGTTCCATAAACTTATAGGCTCTATTTATTTTTCACAAAAATATTTTCTTTATTTTTTGGTTTTTGGTTGCACATAATTACAGGACAACATTTTACATGTAAAATCTTTTACACCAAATCAAGGAAAATGCCTTGCAGAACAAATTTTGATAAGTCATTTTACGAATGAGTGTTCACATTGGTATTAGTGTTTTAGTGTGTGGAGGTTGTGTGAGTTGGGTTGGAGAACTAGGGATTCATGAGTGTCGAGATGGTTCAATAGGTGTAGTATGATGTGTGTTTGATGTCACATACCGGGTTAGTACAAATGCCAACCACAAGTTTAACTGATTTTGAAAAAAAATATTTACATGCCAAACACTCAGAAAAGACAAAGTAGCAAAAATTCTTATAAAAAGCTTTACATTGAAAAATATTTTAAAGATTGATGATTAGTTTTAACAAATATAAATAAAACATTTAAATAAATAAATTCAAATAGTGCCACTAATCACCATCAATCACATTACAATGTTTGTTGACAACTTGCATGTTGGTGGTCTAGAGAGCATTGGTATTGTTTTGTTGGACGAGTTTGTTGTCCGTCCTAGGGCTGCAAACGAATCGAGCCGAGTGCTCGGCTCATTTACTTATCAAGCTCGTTTATTGAGCTCGAGCTCGGCTCGGCTCAATAATTTTTTTTAATATTATTTATATTATTTAAATAAAAATATTATTTATATTATTTAATATATAAATAATATATTTATTATATAATTTAAATAAAAATAAACGAGGTGAGCTTGACGAGCCGAGCTTATGTGAGCTTGAGTTTGGCTCGTTTACTAAACGAGCGCTTAACGAGCCGAGCCGAGCTTGTTCATGAACAGCTCGGTTCATTTGCAGCCCTATCTGTCTCACATTGACAGGTCTCATATATTATAAATGTTTATGTCCATTGCTTTAAAATGACACAGTTGCCTTATCCCACATCGGCCAAACAATAAGATAGAAGACATCTCGAACTTTATATAAATATCAAAATATTCGAAGCAAGTCTATAAATATAAATATACGATAATAAAATAGTAATAATAATAAATAATTAAAAAAAACTTTAAACAAGCCGAGCTTAGTCAAGTCGAGCTCATATATGCTTGAGCTCAGCTCATTTATTAAACGAGCTGAAATATTGGGCTCGAGCTCGTTTATTAACACAAATAAACAAATTTGAATGAGTTCTTAACGAGTCGAGCTTGAGTTGTTCATGAACAACTCGGTTCATTTGCAGCCCTAGTCGCAAGAATGATAATATTACTTTGTTATTGGTACAGTAGTCATGGTAGAAAAGGCCACTGCAAGTGCATCTGTTCTGACCACATGAACAATACATTATACATTGTAGTCAAATGCTACTTATTTAATTCATTTAATACTAAGGTAGCCCATTGCTTGGATTGGTCTCAGGTTGGGTCAGGCTGAGCCCTCTGACGTTACAGACTTCCCGGTCTGTTTCAAATGTTTTAGTTAGAAACATGTATTGAAACATTGTAGGAAAATGCCATGATTCTTTTCAACTACGTCCCAGCTTTGGCGGTTGTTTCTCTTATTGCTGCCTCTTGAATGAACAATTTCCTTTCTAGCTTTCATTTGTCATTCTATTTATGGTTGTTCAGATAAGATATATTTTTATCATACTAAATTCCTTCTGCTCGAAACAGTGCTTGACTTAAAATTTTACCACTGGGGGTTGGGTTTGGGCTTTCCCTGCCCTTAGCTTGAAATCAACTGGCCTTGGGACAAGCATTTTTTTAAATCTTTCTCGAATGTTGGCCCATGTTATGCTATTCATGTGGTCCTGTGGTTGTGAGATATGTTGAACCTTTTGTAATTTATCAATGTTTGATTTGTTGTAGCTTGACCAGCTTCTAGCGCTGCTTGTTGAGGAATCCACTCAGGCTGAAAGATCTGGCCACCCATTTCCTTTGACCATTGTTTTTGTGGAGAGGAAGGTATTGCTGATAACCAAATAAATATTTCAGACTTTCTTCTTCTTCATTATTATTATTATTATTATTTTTTCCCTTTCCATGTTCTAGTGTTCTGTAGCTACATGAGTGGCAATATCGTGGTTTAATATGTTTATGCATCAATTTCCTTAAACACAGTTTATCCACTCAGCCTCTTTGCTTTGTACATCAGTAAATGCACCCACGTGGTTATGTTTTACTATACATGCATGCATTCTATATTGCAGCTTCTGCTCACTATCAGTTTCAAGTGTTCGTTTTCAATTTTATGGCCGAACTGGAATTAAGAGTCCTCAAGCATATTTGCGTTGATGTACTGAGTGAGCTTATTCTAGAATCTTGACAATTGTCTGTCTGGAACTGCTAGTTATGGTAGTTCTAATTAAATCATTTTAAAAAATTGGATAGGTGGATTTTCTGAAATAAAGTGGCTATGTGGCTGTACTTGATAGTGAAGAGATGTGATACAGTGATGGTGAATGAAAGTATTAGGGGAAGGGGCAAACCTAGATCTACATGGGTTAGTATAGTAAATAAAGATATGAATCTTCTTAATTTGACTAACCAAATGACTGTTGATAGAGTCGAGCAGAGAAGAAGGATTCATGTAGCCAACCCCATTTTATGGGGCTTAAGACGTGGTTGTTTTGGTTTTGGTTATGTTTTAGTACTTAAATCTGGTTTTGAATGTAGACTAGGTGCGATGAAGTTGCAGAGGCGTTGATAGCTCAAGGTTTGCATGCAGTTGTTCTTCATGGGGGCCGCAGTCAAAGTGAAAGAGAGGCAGCTCTTCACGATTTTAGGGTTGGCTCTACAAACATCCTGGTAATATCCTTATATTTCCCTCTTATATTGCTAGAAAGTATCAATTGCTCTGCTCTGCTGTTTGGGCTTGTATGTATATTATCCTTAATTGGCATCAACACATTCCATTGGGTGGTTAAATGGGCCCTGTCAATACACTGAATTATCATTTGTCACTATGACATAATATTGTGCTGTCACTCCTCAAGAAACTTGCTTTCAAATTAACCAGCTCAATGAGTAGTCCATTTTAGAAAAAAAATTGTGCTTTAGACTTCCCTTAGAATATTCATTAATCCAGATTGTGGCCATAAAATAAGTACCATTACCTCAAATACTGTATGACTCTTTAACTTTAATTTCTTTTGAAATGGAATTTTATTTTTGCATTTGTTAACGATGTGCTGTTACTTTGTAGGCAGTCGGATTTATAATGATGAATTTCTCTTTGAACAGTATGTGAAATGATATGGAGCCATTCAATTTCTATATGTAATAAATATTTTCCTTCAATGCTGAGCAAGTTTATATAGAGGCCTTGGTAGGGTAATGTGAAATATTTGTATAAAAACAACGCCCAATTAGTACACGTTAATGTGTTTGGAAGGAAAAAGATTAGGTACACACTTAACCTTTGGCATAGTACACAAAGTGGTTGCTCCGTGACTTGAACCCATAGCCTTAAGGTTATTAAGCTGGTTTTACTATTGAGCTAAAATATTTGTATATTTTATAAAATTGAGCTATATCATATATGTGAGTTTTCCCGTTGATAGAAGTGGCCCATTTCCACAATTTTGTGAGGCAACCAAACCTCTTGAACATGCACTTTTTTCATTCTCATGTTTTGTCATCTTGCTTGTCATGTTTTTGGTCTTATTCTACTTGACTCGATTCAGGAAAGGTTTTATAATATGATTTTATTTGCGTCATTTGTTTCTTTGTTTTGGTGCAGGTTGCCACTGACGTTGCATCTCGTGGATTGGATGTCACTGGAGTTGCTCATGTTGTGAATCTTGATCTTCCGAAGGTATATTGTGCTGCAAGTTGGTAGCTTCTTTGAAAATATTGTAGTTCTTTTAGGTTCATGTATTGCCAATGTAGCAATTGAGTTGTCTGGAAAAAAAATATAATCAGTAGAAAAAGTCTTGTATATGGAGAGTATTTGTTCTGTAAATTAAGTGAGCTTGTTGTCATAAACCCATTCTCTAACTCATTTATCAGCTTCTTGTCAGCTGACCTCTGTCACCATTAATTTACTTTTGGAATACCTAAACCTGATGCTTCATTTTTGTCTGCCTCAATTTTAGACCATGGAAGACTATGTACACCGAATCGGAAGGACAGGGCGTGCAGGATCAACAGGCCAAGCTACTTCATTTTGTACTGATCGTGACATGGTGTTTTCCTTCTCCAGCTTTTACTTCACTCTCTTTTTTTTCTTTGTGTTTTTTGTACTTCTCTTTTCACACATTTATTATTTTTGTTTTCATTCTTATGTTGTTTGTTTGGTCTAATGGCATGTTGTAGTTCCTTGTGGCACAAATAAAAAAAGCAATTGCAGATGTGGAGTCTGGTAATACTGTGGCCTTCGCAACCGGCAAGGTATAGTTATTTCCCTTCTTTTTCATCTGAAAACTCAAAAAAAAATTATTTCTATTATGCACTTTATTTCTACTTTGATTACCCTGTTCAACTGTGGGGGAATGAATTTGGTAAAGATATTTTCACTCAGTTTCCTCCCTCATTTATGTTTTCTTCCTTTGTTTTTTGTTGGTGCCCAGGGAAACAAAGGAAAAGAAAAATACCTCTTTTCAGTCTCATGTATTTGTTGTCTCTCTTTTTTTTTATTTTTATAATTACTTTTTTAAAGCTTTTACTGCTATTGACTCTTAGGTTGCTAGAAGGAAGGAGAGAGAAGCAGCCACTGCACAGAAAGAGGCAAGGACTGCACTGTCCAAACTCTCATTGGTGGGGCCCACGTCAATCAACGTAGAGGACAAGTATAGATACATGATAGCTCCATCAATGATCAAGACCGAAGGTGCAGCAGATGGTGCTTGGGATGATTGATGAAGTTCTACTTTTGCTGCGGTAAAGTGGCATGCTCAGAGTAAAGGCCCCAATAATCCGAGGTTTGTAGTATATGGTTGCTTAGCAACATCTGTGTACAAGATGATTCTCCTCAATTTCCATATTTTTTTTCTTCTCCCTCCCCCCCAAACCCCCAATGTATGTTTTACATTTTTCATCAATTTTGATGAAGCAAATGCAATTTTATAGGTGTGCATCGCTTGTGACTTTGGGGGCTTGACGTGCAAAACGTGCTGCAGGAGGACGTGCTTGTAAGTTTACATTCCACTATTGTTGATACTCCACCATTTACAAGGACCAGTTAACATGATGTTTTTTTTTGCCTTTTTTCTTGAAGGCTTGTAGGATTGTCTTACAGTATTGTAGCTGGACATATATCTTGAAAAATGAAGCTAATTTTCTGAAGAATTCTTTTTGTATGAAACGATATAGTTCTACAGTTTTCCTTTTTTTTTTATGGTTCTACCATCCAATTTTAAGTCAATTACTGATACCTCGATTTTCTGAAAAATATAAGTGAAAAATGACAGTGAACACGCCCTTAGAGCATCTCCAATGGTAGTAGGCATTTTACCTATCTAAATATTACTATAAAATATACATTTTATTTTGCCTATCAACGATTTCATGTTTCTGCCCCAACCATGCTCTTTATTTTAGCTATTCATCCAAATACTATTAACTTTATAGAATGCCACGTCAGCAACAAAGATGGAGGGAAATAATCTTAATGATTAAATACATTTTGCCTAGCCTTGAAGGCTAGCTACATGTAGCTAGTGAATTTTTTTTTTTTGTCTAAAATTTGCACTCACTCATGTACAATTGTTGCCAAGGCGTGATTCTCTCTCACATCTAGGGATGACAATTTAAACCTAGCCCGATGGGGACCCGACCCCCCGACCCCGATCAGAACGGATTTTTTTCCGAAAATTACTCCTCGTAGGGCCGGGGATGGTATTAAAAATTAAATTCCCAATGATTTTCGGGCTGGGGACGGGGATAAGTTCCCGAACCCCGGCCCTAGTCCGCCCTTGCCCCCGCCCCCGAATAATCCCCGAACATGGCCCATATATATAATATATTTATAAATTTCATTTTCAGCCTTCCATTCATTTTCAGCCTGTTTTTCATTGAATCCCTCGTATATCTCTCTCTCTCTACTCCACTGCCAATCTTCACTTGCTACTCTTCTCCACTACCGATCTTCACTCGCCACCAACAATCTTCTTTCTCTCAGCGTCTCTCTTTCTTTCTCACTACCACCGTCGTCGCACACCACCGATCCCGCTACCACCGTCGTCGCACACCACCGATCCTGCCACCAACGTCGTCGCACACCACCGATTCTGCCACCAATGTCATCGCACACCACCGATCGCCATCATCCGTTGCACAACACTTCTACCACAGCACCACCGATCGCCATCTTCATTCGCTTCTGTGTTGTGGTTTTTTTGAACAGATCGATGATTTTTTTTTGAAAAATCTTGATCAATTTATATATATCTATATATATATATGGATTCAGATCTAATTTGTTGTTAGGGTTTTATCTGTTGAACATATCTAAATTTTTTCTGTTAGGGTTTTGACAGATCTGTGGTTGTTTTGAACAAATCTATGGTTCTCTCTTCACTCTCTCTTCGCTGCTCTTCATCTTCTTTGTTGATTGTTGTTGTTTTGTACGGGGATTATTCGGGGTCGGGGAAACCTGATCCCCATTAGGAGGCGGGGGTGGATGGGTTCCCCGCCGAAGATCGAGGCTGGGGCCGAGGCCAGGGACGGGGAATTTTGTAGCTTCGGGGATCGGGGACGAGGAGTGTAGTCCCCGCACCCACCCCGTCCCGTTGCCATTCTTACTCACGTTTTTTGTTACTGTTGGCCGTCCATTTTCCCACAAACGCAGCTCAGTTTACCTTCCCACAAAATTCATGGCTCTTGTTAATGCATTTTTAAGCCACACAATCATGTTTTTGAGGTTTTTATTTTTCAAGATTTTCATATAGGCTGAAAGTGCATTGGGGGAGAGAACATGATCCCTGGCATCAACAAGAGCATTGCTATTCAAGCTCAAAAGTTAAACTCACTTTTTAGACTTAGTGATGTGTTAGTTATGCAACAATTTTACTCACATGTCCAACTTTTATTTTTTGACTTCTTGTCTACTTTTGTTAGTGTAAGAAAAATTGATGTATATTATTGATTGATATATGTTATCTATTACAAATGGTGAGTGGCTCCTTATATAGGAGATGTAGTGGAGTAGGTGGAGTAAGTGGTAGTGGTAGGTGTGTAGTAGGTGGTAGTAGGTGGTGGTAGGTGTAGTAGGTGGAGTAGGTGATGGTAGGTTTTAACAGCCCCCCACAAACTCAAGGGGGATAGGAACTTTTTAGCCACACAATCATGTTTTTGAGGTTTCTTTTTTTCAAGATTTTCATATAGGCTGAAAGTGCATTGGGGGAGAGAACATGATCCCTGGCATCAACAAGAGCATTGCTATTCAAGCTCAAAAGTTAAACTCACTTTTTAGACTTAGTGATGTGTTAGTTATGCATCAATTTTACTCACATGTCCAACTTTTATTTTTTGACTTCTTGTCTACTTTTGTTAGCAAATTGTTACAATTCCTTTTGGGGTGTGGGTAAACACAAATGTTGATTTGCATGGATGTTTTAAAAGCTGCATATAAAGTATTTACGCTATGTTCTGTTGGGGGATTTAAAAAGAAATTTGAAAAGTGAAAGAGAGAGAAAATATAAGTGAAATATAAATAAAATATATTTATATTTCACATAGTTTTACACATTTTTTCCCTTTTCAAATCTCTCAACCAAATATAGTATTAGAGAATTGGTCTATGTGTATGCACGTGCACGCGCGTCTATGTTGCATCAATGAGAAATGAGAAATGTTGCTTACCCTTCATCACTCTCTCTCCCTCCATAGCCTGCCAACTTCAAAGGAGAGCATAAAGTGGAATTAAAACCTTTTTGACCCTATTCCTATAGTTGCACATTTTTTTTCCTTTTCCTTCTCAAATCTCTCAACCAAATACAGTATTAGAAAATTGGTCTGTGTGTGTGCACGCGCACGTGCACGTGTGTGTGTGTTGCATCAATGAGAAATGAGAAATGTTGCTTACCCTTCATCACAGCGTGCCAACTTCAAAGGGGAGCATAAAGTGGAATTAAAACCTTTTTGACCCTATTCCTATAGTTGCACATTTTTTTTCCTTTTCCTTCTCAAATCTCTCAACCAAATACAGTATTAGAAAATTGCTAAAGGCGGAAAATAAGGAGCTGAAGCGGAAGGCCACCGTTATGTTCCGATTTGGAGGTCCGCCATATGCTGCAGTGGAGGAGCAGTGAGTAGTGATCGTGCCCAGTGGAGTGGGAAACACGGAGGCAGCACCGGCAAGGGCTGCCCAAGACGGAGGCAAGAAGAAGAGACCGGCGGCAGAGTAGAGGAAGTGAGGTCGGTGGGTGGCCGTCTGCAGAAAAGAAAACAAATCATTTGTTTTTGTTTTTTTTTGTTGTTGTTGTTGTTGTTGTTTTTTTTTTTTTTTCTTTTATAGTTTGTTGTTGTGTGTGTAAAAATGTGATCGGGGTTTATCCCTGAGAGGAATAAAATATGGTTTGGTGTGCAAAGCTATATGGTATGAAGGTAATTTGAAAACGATTAAAAAGTAATGTGAAAGAAAAATAAAGAAAGAAATAATAAAAATATATTTGAAATCAAAATGAAAGATGGGGGAAATAAGGAAATAAAAATAATGGATTTTGAAATCAAACGGAGGAGAGAGAGGGGACAAGCCCATGTGAGGGAAGGAGGGGTTTAAAGAAAGTGAGGGAGTGGGTTGATTAAAAAAAAGGATTGTGGGTTTGAAAGTGGAAAGATGAGAGAGAGAGAGTGGGGTACATGATGGGTATGTGATAAAATAAAATATAAAATCAGTGGGTTGGTTTGTACAAAAATAAGAATAAAAGGAATAAAAGAAGAAAAGGAAAATGGGGTTGAGAAAACCATCTTCTCAGTCTGCTCTGGATTGACCAGCTCGAGAAGACAATATGATGCCAACAATCAGACCATACAGGGCCAAGGCTTCAGCAAAGATGAGCAAAGATGAGAATGAGGATCATTCTAACAAAAAGTTTTGGCTGCTGTGCATTAGCTCTAACACCAGCATCGCCGACGATCCCAATCACCATTCCAGCAGAGAGGCCAACGAGGCCACAAGCGAGACCAGAGGAAAGATGAGCATAACCATCAAACAGGTAATAGGACTTGGCCTTAGGGTTAATACCAGTGCTGATGATAACAGCAATGATCAATCCATAAATACCTAACACTCCAGCCATAACAACAGGAACGATCGACTTCATCACCAGTTCTGGCCTCATCACACCCATCGACGCCACTCCAACACCACTCTTCGCTGTCCCATACATAGCTCCCATACAGGAGAAGACGAGGGCAGCAGCAGCGCCAAGGAAGCCGAAGAACGGAGCAGTTTCATCACCTCTGAATGTCGAAGACATCTTTTGGATTCGATTGGATTTTCTCAGCGACGAAACGTGTTTGGATTGCGAGAAAATTTGTGGTGTACAGAAAGAAAAAGAGAGGGTTTTTTTTTTTTTTTTTTTTCCTTCTCTATCTGAAGTTCTAAACTCCTACTGGTCGAGAAGCAAATTATTATTAGTAATATTTATAATAATACACGTGGCAATCAGCTAGGAAAAGGGTTGAAGATTGGGCTATTCCATGTTTTCGGGCTAAAATGTCATTGGGCTCTTTCATCCAAATTTCGTTTTTGTTTTTAATGGTAATATATATAGGAGATGTAGTGGAGTAGGTGGAGTAAGTGGTAGTGGTAGGTGTGTAGTAGGTGGTAGTAGGTGGTGGTAGGTGTAGTAGGTGGAATAGGTGATGGTAGGTTTTAACAGTTAGCAAATTGTTACAATTCCTTTTGGGGTGTGGGTAAACACAAATGTTGATTTGCATGGATGTTTTAAAAGCTTCATATAAAGTATTTACGTTGTGTTCTGTTGGGGGATTTAAAAAGAGATTTGAAAAGTGAAAGAGAGAGAAAATATAAGTGAAATATAAATAAAATATATTTATATTTCACATAGTTTCACACATTTTTTTCCTTTTCAAATCTCTCAACCAAATATAGTATTAGAGAATTGGTCTGTGTGTATGCACGTGCACGCGCGTCTGTGTTGCATCAATGAGAAATGAGAAATGTTGCTTACCCTTCATCACTCTCCCTCCACAGCCTGCCAACTTCAAAGGGGAGCATAAAGTGGAATTAAAACCTTTTTGACCCTATTCCTATAGTTGCACACATTTTGTTCCTTTCCTTCTCAAATCTCTCAACCAAATACAGTATTAGAAAATTGGTCTGTGTGTGTGCACGCGCACGCGCACGTGTGTGTGTTGCATCAATGAGAAATGAGAAATGTTGCTTACCCTTCATCACAGCGTGCCAACTTCAAAGGGGAGCATAAAGTGGAATTAAAACCTTTTTGACCCTAAATATCTTCCAATGCAAATACAGGAAAAAGTCATTTCCTTAAGCATAAACAATGTCTTAATTCATATCTCATTGTTAGAACAACATAAATATATTTGTGATAAAGAGTTTGCGCTCTGTTCCGCGTGGTGATTTAACCCCCATTATCAAAACTATTGATAAATCACATTGGGTTTACAAAATTCTGGAAGAAAATTTTAGTGAACATCCATTAAAACTATGGCAACGTAGTCCGCGTTATTGTAGTTTAAAATTAAAAAATTCTAATGTTATCATTAGAGTAAGACCAATGATCTATACTAGACAAGATATAGATGAATTTGATCTTCAACTCCAGGAAATTTTGGACAAAGAGTTAATTGAAGAAACTAGAAGCCCTCACTCTAGTCCAGCTTATATGGTAAGAAACCATGCTGAAATAAAAAGAAAAGCTCGAATGGTAGTCAACTATAACTGGTTAAATGAAAATTTAGAATTTGATGGATATTTTATTTCAATAAAAGATGTTTTGATTAACTTAACCAAATGATCAAAAATATTAGCAAATTTGATTGTAAGAGTGGATTTTAGCAAATTCAATTAACTGAAGAGTCAAAAAAATTGACAGCTTACAATACACCTAGAGGACATTACCACTGGAATGTTATGCCTTTTGGGTTAAATATAGCATCACAAGTATTTCAATGGTGAATGTATACAATTTTTAAATATCTTAAAGATTATTGTGTAGTTTATATTGATGATAAACTTATCTTATCTAAAACCAAGGAGGAGCATAAAAAACATTTAAAATTACTTTGTGAAAAATTTCAAAAATATGGAATTATTTTGTCTCTAAAAAAGATTGAACTAGAAAAAGAATGAATTGAATTTTGGGAAATAATTTTAGACTAGAAAGGTTTAAAATTACAAGAACATATTTTGTCCAAAGTACGAGATTTTCTTGATACTCTTGAAAATGTAACACAATTACAGAGTTTATTAGATATTTTAAATTATGAATGAAATTATATCAAAAATATTTTTAAAATAGAAATTCCTTGGTTAACCAAATTTAGGAAAAATGTTATTTTTGAATGGACAACAAAAGATGTTACGTTAATTAAAAAAATTAAAGAAAATGTTAAAACTTGACTAGACATTTATATTCCTAAAATAGGTGACAAATTAATTTTAGAAACATATGCCTCAAAAGCATGCTAGAAATGTGTTCTTAAAGCAATACCAAGTAATTTATGGCATGATAAAGAGATACCTTTATCAGAAAATGGGATTAGACTAAGAAAAAATTCAATACCCATAAAATTACAAAAAGAAGAATTAATTTGTGAATATAATTCTGGAACATTTAAACCAAATGAACAGAAATATATTATTTTTGAAAAAGAATTACTTGCAATAAAATTGGCAATAAAAAGTTTTCATATTTATTTAACCCTAGAAAATTTTATTGCACGCACTGATACTAAAGTAGTAAGAGATTTCTTGATCAATAAAAAACCTATTGAGCAAGAAAGACGATTAGCCTGGTATAATAAAATTTCTTAATATACTTTTGAGGTAAAACATCTTAAATGTACTAACAATTTTCTTGCATATTTTCTTAATAGGAATTGTTTCAAAAAATTAAATTACTAAATAAGTAATTTTAATTTTTGCAGAAGACCTCTAGACCAAGAGGAAAAAATGGACAAAGGTAAAAAAAACCCGCTCAAGGAGATTGTGTGACAATTGCTAAAAAAGTAATTTCCAGACAAGAAAAAATTTATGTTGTGTTTGCAAGAAGACAACTTGGAATTTACATATAATGGAATGATTGCAATACGCAAGTTTAGGGATTTTCAGGAGCAAGCTACAAATCCTATGATCACATGACCAAAGCCAGAAAAACTTTTTACAGTGCATCAGCTATGCCTGTTTATCAAAATAATTTTTGTCAAATGAGAACTAACCTAATTCTAACAAATATTCAGACATCTAAACCAGATGAATCTGAGATAAAAGATTTTTTCAACCTTGGTATATCTAAAAAAATTTATACAGAAAACTCACATTGTAGACAACAAAGTGAAATTTCGAAAACACATGGGAGTTCTGGCCAACAAATTAGCTGAGCAAACAACTAAATTAAAAGATTAGCAAAATCTTTGTTTCTATATCCTTAAACAAATGAATTGAAATGAAGATTTTAATTTTGAAAAAATAAACAATTTTCTTCAACTATCAGACCTCATATCAGAAGAGTTTTTTGATCTAGTTTTTGAACCAATAAAAAGAATGTCTTTTTGAAAAACAAGAACTTTGCTTCCAAAAGAAATTTTTATGATAATCAAAAATCGAGTTAAGAATCATTGTGATAAGATTAGACAAATCTTAGAACAATCCTATGATAAATTAAATTTTAAAGATGAAATTCCCAAAATAACCATCATGGCAAACCATGACATGTGGTTTTTTGAAAACATAGATTAGGAAATAACTAATCAAGTTATTTCCGGAAGTTTAGATCCAATCCAATGGATAAAATATCCAATTATCATCAAAGCAATGCTCTATATGGTAGTAAAAGACTTCCAATAGAGTAAATATTTTACTTTCTGAATCTCCAGTACTGTTGGTTAGTGGGAACAAGAACATTTTTTCCAATCATACCAAATTTGGTATCTTAAAAAAACTGAAGATTTTGAGTTTGAATATGATTATTTAGATGAAGATCGCTGGAGAGAGCGATTGGAAAATATTCAAAAACTTTCTTTGACAAAATATTGGATAAACAGTTTAATAACTATTTCACAGACAGCGTCCAATATCCATGGCTCAGCGAAATTGTCATTCATGGTCATAGATGGTAGTACACTGTTTGTAACCCATTTTCCCATAACATATCAAATGTCTCCTACACAAGTTAATAAGGCTCTTGACATGTTATTAAATCTCAAACAGAGAAATAATTTGGATCTTCCGTTGGAACTAACCATGACCGTGGGTGATATAGAACATTTTCGAAATGAGCAATATAGCCAGGATCCTAATTTCCCTCCATCAGAGACTAATGAAGAGTATCACAATCTCATAAACCAAATGGAAGCATAGTGGACCCCACTATCAAATGCAGCTTGTCTCCTTGTCGACTCTAACCTTATCCAGGACACGTGAAACAACTTGCATTATTAGGCAGAAAGTGGTCAGACAAATCCTTTCAGCTGACGTTACAAGACAGAAAAGATCAGCCAAATCTTATCTGTTTCATCCCTTTGAAAATCGGGGAGGGTAGACAGTGTATAATTGTGTATATAATTGTAGAACACAGCAAATAATTGTAAGTTTTCATTTATTATCTTTGTAATTTTGTATGGAAACTTTGTAAAAGCCTATTTATAGACTTGTAGGCTTTGTAGAAACTTGCAAAGTTTTTCTCTCCATTTCTTTGTTGCCTATTTCGTCTCTAACTTCTCTTAACTCCATCATAATTCCATAATAAAAATAGTAGAAAACTCCTTTCCTTTTTGCTTATACATACATCAAAGATTTTGATAATTGCACTTTAATTTATTTATTTTATTTTTATTTTATTTTTAAATTTTTTTTGGGGAGGAAAATGCACTTTTACTTTTGAACATAGTAAGAACATGGGATATTAATATGAATTTGCGATATTTACAAGCAAGACAAGGTTTTACCAAATTGCATGTTTGTCCTAATACATTTCTTGATTTCACCTATAAGGTTCCATTTGTTTAGAAAGTAACGTACATTAAAAAATAAAAATGACAGAAAGTGAAGTGAAAGAAAGGGGGGGAAAAAATAAATTATTTGTTGCATGCATTTGAATAGATGAAAAATTTTGTAAAAAAAAATCATAAGAAAAAAAATATAACCACTGCATAACAGGGAGTTGTAGAGAGAAATATGGCCAAAAAGTAAAGATTTGTGAGAAAATAAATTTTCTTATATATTTTGCAACAAATTGTTAATTTAACTAACAAGCTAATTTAAATTGTATAAGAAACTTAAGTTTTCATTACTTTCTAGGATTTTCTATCTATCTAAATCAAAAAAAAAAAATTGTTTTTCCTTTCAGTTTTGTGTATTATCTATCTAATCAAATTGAGCCTAAAAAATAAGACAAAACACAGATTATAGTTAGCTAACCCCCCTCTCTCTCTATATATAATTGTTAAATTCAGTTTGTCAGCTGGATCTCTATATATTGCATTGTTCTTGTTATCTTTCTATATTCTCAAGCATATACTATATATAGAGACAACATACCCTAGTTTTTTGTGTAAGCTTTGGGTTCTTCTTCCTGAATGTCAACATTCCTTGTTGCCACTTGGGGTGTATTTAAAAACAGTTTTACTTGGCATAAAAACACATCATCTTAGCTCAACTTGAATTCCTCAAATTAGGAACACTTGATTAACCTCCGAGAAAGATGGAAAATCGCTGGGATTTTGGTCGGAGAATTGGGTTACTTTGCTTCCTTTTCAGTGTCTTCATTCTGTTTCAATGCACCACAGCAGAAAGTAAGCCCCTTTTTCCTCCTCCTCCTAATTTTGACCCAACTTTTTTTTTTTTTCCTGATGAATCCCATTCTGCTGATATATAGATTTCTAGTATATTTGTGTGGTAAAAAATACTATGTATTCAAAAAAAATATTTAGAATTATATAGTGTAAATTTAAATTTAGGCCTCGCTTGGAAACAAGTTATTTTAAAAAAATTTTGACTTTTTACGAAAAAATGTACAGAAAAATAGAGAGAGTGATGTGACAACTTATAGTGACTTTTTGATTTTTTAGCTAAAACATGTAGTTACCAAATGAAGCTTTTAGTGTGATTTAATCACACAAAATAAATTTGATTCAAATTTTAATATTTTTTAAGGATACATTGTAGTGGTACATGGTTTAGTTTTGTGTAGTTTTTCATGCACCCAAATGCAGTAAGCCAGCTTATTTCCATATTAAAAGTAGGGTTATACTAATGACAATCTTATTAAGGTGAAATCAATGTTAAAAACAGTTAAAACTTAAATACACTTTTAACATATCTATAAACATTCCTTTAAAAAAAATATTATTGTTTTCTCAAATCATTGTGATGTAAAAAACAAATTTGATAATTTCACTTTGATTTTCCTTTTGATTTCAGACAGAACATATCCGGAAGGCAACGTTAATCTAAGCCCATTTCAGGCTTGGAGAAGTGCTCATTGGTGTATGCTAAATTTCAGGGTATCTCCTATTTGACTATACAACTACAGTTAAAATATATAAAAACATACCTATACCTTTTTTTTATTTAACTATTATTTTATAAAATTAGAGGTGAAATTGACACATTTGAAGTATTGAGAACCAAAATGACACGGAACATATGTTTTGTGTATTTAATTTTTATTTTATTTTAATGAAAGAGTTCATTGGTCCCATTTTTTTTCTAACTAAATATTATGCATAATAGAAATAAAAATATCTGAGATCCTTAAAAAGTTTTCATAATTTGACCTACAATAAATAGCATGATATATGTCAATTTTTAATTTATTGTACACTCAATCATATAAGGTTTAACTCTCTTATTGCATCATTGTAGTTAAATTTGTATGTTTAAAATTATCTATCCTCGGTATTTTTCTTTGACAAAAATGTCATGAATCATGAAAAAACACTTCAAACTTTATCTTGAAATGAGATGTATGGTATAGATTTAGAATTGGTGTGATGTGAGCCCCATCTAAAATGATTATGATCGATGAATGTGTTTTTTTATATTACTTTTCTAGTCATATTTTTCAGAATTTGTAGTATTGTTGTTACTTTTCAAAAACAATTTTCAAGTTTGCAATTCGTATTTTTTGGTTTGTAGTGAATTTTATAAATGTTTTAATCATTTTTTTTAAAAAAAAACTTTTTAGATACACTTAAAAATACAATATTTGTGAATATTTTTTTTTTAAATTCACTATATACAAATAAATATAAAAACAATTCAGTGCATTTTTTTTATATATATATTTATTGAATTCCTTTTAGGTTTCTTCACAAATATTTTACTTTTAAACTATATTTAGATTAAGTGCATATAAAAAAATTAACTAAAATGTAAATGAAAAAAAAATCACTAAAAATTACAAAATACAAAAACAAAAAATTAAAAAACTCAAAATTAATTTTAAAAATCTCAAAACAAAAATAGAGTGAGTAGTTTTTTTACATCTATGTCTATACTATATAAAGTGAGCAAGTCACTTGGTGTTATGAAACTCTCTCTCATTTTGGCAAGTGTTCATTTTTTTATTTTATTTTTAAACAAAAAATTAGACAAAAAGGAAGAGTGAGACTTATCAAAAAAAATTCTTACTACATGACTGACATACAATATATAATAAATAATTTATTTATTATTTTATTTTTTTAAATTATGCACGCATGGTGTATACCAACTGTTAATCAAAATTAAATGAAGCTTATTAGTGAGTTTTGTGGGGGTGATGTGAGAAAACAGAAGAACAATACTTGCAAGAGTAATAACATGTTAACGGAACAAGGAGTGTTGGTGGTAAGTCCGGGTGAAGAGGCGGAGTTCTGTAAGGCCGGTGGGTGCGCAGATCAGACGAGAGCTGTTCTCTCTTGCATTCATCATGTCAAACGTGGCTATTTCTTCATGAACCCCAACGGGATCACCCTTAACCACATCTACAGCATCATCAAAAATGCCTGCCCCTCCTCGTCTCCTTAAAAGGTATTACCTATACCTATATCCATCTATCTATCTATCTTGGCGTTTTGATTTTTGTAACTAAATAAATTTTTAATTTTTAATTTTTAATTTCATCAATTTAAATCTTAATTTCTTGTTTTGTTCTTAATTTAAACCATCAACCTATTTTCGTTGGGTAAAATTGACAAAATATAGTATTTTAGTCATTGAACTCCACGTAAGTGTATAATTGAGCTGACAAGTGTATGAATGAAGTCGAAGCAATAAGTGTACTTCGGGAACTCTTCTAGCAGACATGTGGAGTTCACTGGAAGGGAGAATGGCGGGAATGATTTCTTGCAATGCAACGGAACTCAAAGCCAGTTTCATAATTAAGGTTTAAATTAATAAAATTAAAAATCAAAAATTTATTTCATTACAATGGTCAAATTATAGAGTTTTTTTTTTTTTTTTTTTTTTCTCCAATGAATTTGGTCGGGAGATAATTGCAAGAGGTGAGAAGTTACAGAATTTGATCGAAGCAATTATCAAGGAGTATTTTAGAAAAGAGTAATGCTTTATGTAATCTCATTTCTTATATCGCTTTCACACTCTTAGACACAAAGTAGTGAAGTCCACATTAATAAATGCCTATGGAACCAATTCACTTGTGTTTAACAGTGAAAAAATTAAAAAAATTTAAAATTAAAATAAAAAAGAAGATAAGAAATTGAATTATATGTAACATTTGTGAAAAATTTACGCCAACTCAGACTTTATAATATATATTAGAAGGAAGGCACATATATTGTGTGCCAAACTAATAAATATATATACATATAGAATGAAAACATAAGAGTTGTAATTATTTTGTAAGTGAGAAGTTATATTTAAATTAGTTTGAAGTGAAATTAATGATGAAAAATCTACTAGACAGGTAGAAATAATGAATTCAATGCACCAAGTTAAGCCTTCACTTTATTAAATAATTAATATTATATTAACAAAAAAGAAAAGAAAAAAACAGAAATTGTGAAAATGCTTAAAAGGCTAATTCTTGTATTAGAATTATCAAAATAAAAACATATTTTATAAAAAAATTGTCCAACATATTCTAATATGTTTGGGCAAAATTGAAAAACAATCCATTCATTCTCCCTCTCCTAATTATTAAATCATGTTTTGTGCAGGGACACCCTAGTTTTATATAGACACAACACCTCATGATCTATTAAAATTTAAAAAGTAATATTACATGAATAAAAAATTCATACAAAATTTTCATTAAAAAATAATGTGATTCAATACGGACGTTTCATTTTAAAACAAAACATCTATGAAAATTGGTTTATTTATAACAATGACACGTATAAATAATTTTCGAAATTTTTAAAGTCATATTAACAAGTGTTTATGAGAATCTGTTTCTAACACTTCATTTTCATGTTAAATAATGGTATAGAGACATTTTGTCAAAATTAAAACAAACTTGTGCACTTTGCAGGCTAGAAGTGTTCTATTCTATAAGTAGAGAAGGAGATGGCATCTTCCAATAAATAAGACCAGCAGAATCATCAGCAAAAGAAGTGTGTTTTGTTTTTTGGTGGTTGAGTCTGTTGTAGAAAGTTTTATTATTAGTTTTAAGTAATACTATACTTTCATTCCAAGTATGAGAACAAAATAAGATTATGACATGAATTAATTATTAATACAAATCAAAAGTTGCAGCTTTACCTACAAATAAAGTTTATTGTTTCCCTGTATGCTTTGCAGTAAATAGTGACAGATATGGAGAAAGTAAAAATCTTTTTTTGACTTTGTTTAATATGAAAGTGGTGAAAATTATAAAAAAAAAATTAATTTTTCTATACAATTTATATTAGCATAGTAATTATGCATCTAATTTCTCACCCAAAAAATAATAATAATAATTATAACTCTTAATTCTCTTTCTATCTTACAAAATTTTCAACCTAACAATAATGTATGGGAGAAAATTTCATTTTCTTTGACTTCACGTTTTGTTATTTTTTACTGTTCATTATTTCTTTCTTTCTAATCAAACAGACCTTAATGTTTCAATGCAAAATATTTTATACCAGAAATTTTTTTCCACATTTACTAAGTCATCTTAAAAACACTTTCCAAAAATGTATTTACTAAGCCGTCTTGAGAACACTTTCTAAAAATGTATGTAAATATATCACGATGAACCTACTGCCAACTTAAATGTCAATTGATTGCCCTGAAACTAATAATTTAAGGTTGTGTTTAGATAATGAATTCAAATAAGAATTCGAAAAGAGAAATACCAAAGCCAATAATTTAATGTTGCATTTAAATAATGAATACGAATAAAAATTTCAAAAGAGAAATAAAAAAGAATAGTGAAATATACTCTTCTTTTTTTTTCCCAATTTCTGCCCCCTTCCCAAATTCTTATCTAAATCTATGGGAAAATGTTTGGTAGCTCAAATTTTTGCAGCTCAAATGGCTCAAATCTGTCAAAACGACGTCGTTTTACACTCAAAATCTGTCAAAACGACGTCGTTTTGACAGATTTGAGCCATTTGAGCCACAAAAATTTGAGCTACCTAGCATTGTCGAAATCTATGATACAAACACAACATACAATAGCCAAGTCACATACTTATTTCATCAGACAAATATGTTGTCCCATCAAAACTATTAATTCACAGAACAGGAGCTGTCCCTGTTTTTTGTGAATGAGTTTGGTTTCATGGAAATAACAAGATAAAGACTTTGCTTGAAATACAAATTTGTTTATATCAGCAAAGGTTATCAGACCACACAAGCCAACAAAAAAATGCAAATTTCACTACTACATTGTCACTCAAATTTAAAATTTTACAATAAACCCATATTTGTTTAGACGAATGTGGCCTTAGGATTGAGTTAATAGTTCAACAAAATACAAAATTTTGCATTTGAGAAGGAAAATTGAGATCCGAACTAATAATCCACCTGGGCATGATCCCCATATGGGAGGCTACTAAATCCAAGAGAGAGGGTGGGATACAAATGGGTGACTAACGAGAGGTTAAGGCTAACTAACTAAATTACAAAATTGATAGAATATTGTTAATCACTCCTTATAATCTTAAACCAGTCCAAAAATATTATAAAATACACAATTTAAAAAGGTTGATTTCCAAGATTAACAATCTTGGAAATTCTAGTCTTATCTAACCCAATTTATCTAAACAAACATTGGCCGGAGTATCATTATCAAATTCATTATAGTCTTCCATTGGTTATTTTATAACACAAAATCATAGAAATATATTTTATTAAACTTAATTTTTGGCTAACTATTTTAGTTGAATATCAAATCACTAGTTACATATAGCCTCCGTTTGGGAAGTGGGTTGACTTTTATGATTTTTGGTAATAAAATATTTAATATATTATATTTATTTATCATTTAATCAATTATTACTATATTAATAATAAACATGAGTGGTGAAATATAAAACTAATACAACTGAAATACATGAAATAAAAAAAACACAATCTGATAAATTAAGAAAAATTATTTATAAACAAAATTTGTATTAAAAAAATTGAATTAGATTGATATAATTGTGTATTTTTTAAAATATAAGTAAGAATAATAGGTATTTAAATTGAAATGAATAGAGCATAAAGTAACACATAATTTTATATGTAAATTCAATACAAATTTTTTTAGGATAAATTATATGGACTTCCTCGAAGTTTGGATACAACAAACTATACATTTAGAGATAATTAAATCAACATCTTTATCAATAAGCTTAAATGGATCAAAACAAATGAAGGTAGTGTTAACACTCAAAGATAAATAAAATAAAATATAAATTCTAATGTAAAAAAGATGACAATAATTATTTTTTTATACATAAAACTAATAAATTTTGGAGAAAAATGGGTTTAAGTGTTACATAAATTAATTCTCTTTTAAATATTAAATTTGAAATTGGAAAAAAAAAATACAATAAAAATAGAATAGAGTAAAAAATAGAGAATTTTTGGATAATACATTTAAAAAGATGGTTAGATAAAATAGAAATACAGACTTTTAGTTAAAAGTTAACTAAAAAATTGATTATTTTGATGGAGATGCTCTAAGGGTACAAAGTTTAAATTAATAAAATTAATAAATAAAAAAAGTACAAATTTTGTATCAATTTAGTCTCTGATATATAAAAAAAATGTTTCAATTTAATCCTTTAATTTAACTGTCAATAAATGCGTCATTTAAGTGAAAACTCACATAATTTAATCTTCAAACTCACATAATTTAATCTTCAAGATCTGTGATCTATCATTTAAATATTCAAAATTACATAATTACCTATGACTTTACAGCAGTGATTTAGACCCCCTCAAACTTGAACCCCCACCACCCCACACACACGTGGCGGGTGGTGATTGGAGGAGGAGAAAAAAAAGAAAAAGAAAAAGAAAAAGTGACCAATCAAAAAAGAAAGGGGGTCAAAAGGAGGTGGGAAAAAGGAAGTCCCAATCTTTATTCATGACTTTAATGGCTTCTATTAACGGAATTTGGTTCAATTTGGTTGGAGAATCAATTTAAAACACATTTCATATATCAAAAACCAAATTGACATAATTTAAAATTTGAGGATCAAATTAAAACATATTTTACGAAATTGACAAAATTTAAAAATTGAAGACCAAAATGACTACTCATACTGTGGGGACCAAAAATGTAATTGACCCTGAAACTTGTTACATTGTTACATTTACCTAACAGTAAACAGAGTGCAAATTGAAGAAAACATAAAATTTCAGTTCAAAGTAGAAGATCACCTATACAAACAAGAACACATGAGAACAAACTATATAACAACTCAAAATAAAGAAGACAGAAAAATATATTCCAATCAAGGGGGGGGGGGGGGGGAAAGAAAATAAACAAGAGGAAATGGTGGCGATTGGCGCCACAACAGCAAGCCGTTGCACTGTCCCTAAATTCAATCAGGATTCAAGTCAAGAGTGGAAATCCCACTCCCAAGGCTACCATGTACCCAAAAAAAATTGCAATTTTGCAATTTCCTTGCAAGCGATGAATGATTATGGATTTTGCATAATCTTTTCAATGCAACATTTCGTATGGTATAACGACAAATACAAAACAATAAACCCAGAAGCATTCATTTCCAAAGAGTGTGATGGCCAGACATGTCTTCACCATTACATTTGATGACTAGTGACAAATTTAAACACGGGTCATAACTATCGAGATTCACAGAAAAGTACTGATATCTCCTACAATATGCATACTATGCGGTAAAATATCAGCTTATTTCATAGTCATTCAATCTAAAAGTTATATGAAGAGCACAAATCGAAAGCACTCCAATGCCAACCAAAACAGTACAAGTAACTACAATGTAAAAAATAAGGAAACATAGAAATGTTAAGAAGAAAATGCACAACGCCACATGCAGGAGCAACTCAACATGTTACCATATAGTCAGTCATAGGCGGGTTGGAACAAAAATTTTACCTCTGCCATGCTTTTTGGCAGACCCATCAATTAGAACACCTATTTTTCAAAACAGACTCCTGAAACTGCTTCCATGCACACACGCACATAAAGGATTAACAGACATAATCAACAAATTATCCAAAAAAGACCATAGCTGACAGTCACAATTACCACAAGCATTAGCCGGTCAAATTAATAGAAGGAAAGCTCTTCATTATCAAAATCACCCCTGCCATTTTACCATATAGTCAACAACTAGATGGATGTAGCATTATTCAAAAATACTGTCTTGCTAAAATCACTTTTTACTGAAACACAGTACTGAAAATGACCGTCACAAAGATCTCCTCATATATGTGAAAAAACCTCCCAACAGAAATGTAACTGGCTTGGTCATGTTCCAGCCTTCCGACGGCCAACACGGGCTACAAAACCAGCCTTGATTGGAGCAACCGATCTCCCAGAACCACACTACAAGACAATAAAAACATAAACAGTAGAAGGAAGTCAGTTTTCCATCTGAAAAGTGAACTATGAACTTTAAAAATAAATAAATAAACAAATCAGAATGGAACAGCAGGGTAAGCCATTTCCACCCGATTAAATAAATAAATAAGTCAGACAACAAAAGGAAGAAAAACGTTTGCTTTCTTCAATTCAATTATTAGGACTAAGTGAGCAGTACTCATGTGGCCACAGAAAAGTTTCAGATTCTCCTCCTCCATGCACATGACAGACAATGTAGGCAAATCTTCAAAACATCATAGGTCTTGAAGGAATACTGGTAGTAAAAAGAAATAATTACTTCAAGGGAGAAAAGGTGGAATAATAAGTTTCTTACACCTCAATACCATGTTGCAAAGGTCTCGTCACTTCCAGTTAAATGCAGAGACCAAGAACAAAACTACTGAAGTAAACAACAAACCCGTAACTAGTAACTCGATGGGATAGAACAGATGGTCCAACAACTTTTTCTTTTTCATTACTTCAATGGTCATGCCTTGTGGCACGACAACACCCATAGGCATACCAACAATCCAGCATTTGCATTGGTCATTTCCACTCGATTGAATGAATGAATTTATCCAGCCAAAACATTACTACAAAAAACCCTCAACAGAAGGCCACACACAAACAAAATTTTTCTTCTCCTTTCTTCAATAAAACTCTTGAAACTAAGCAAATAGTTATGGGGCTTGGCACTGTTTCAGATTCCTTTTTGTTAAAAAAAGGAAGAACAATGGATGCAAAACCTTAATTATCATGGGGCCTTGGAAGAATGCTGGTCAAGTTGGAAAAAATTGAAAGCCTGTTAGTATTGTTTTTGTTTTTTGTTTTCTATGTTCATTATTCGAAAAATACATAAAACTTGTTTGGCAAACTGTATCCAGCAAAATTATTCAGCAAGTTTCTTGTTTTTTCTTTCCTTTTTTTTTTATAATAAAAAACCATTTTTTAGGCAACATAAAAAGTTTTCAAAACTTTCGCATAAAAATGAAACCACATGAAAACGATGGATGTTTTTGAACTACTCATTTTTTTTCCCAGAAACACAAAATTTGAAAACAATACTAATCACCTTGCTTGGTTTCCAATTTTCCAAAACACTTTTCAGAAAATTCTACTTTCTTATTTTTCGTATTTTTTTGTTTTTACTGAATTTTTTTAATATTTTAAGCAATTTTTTTACTTTTTAGACACACCCAACATAAATACACCTAAAGATATACCTGACATAAATACATTTAAAAAGTATAATATTTGTAAATTAAAAAAATCACTAAATATCAAAAAATACAAAAAAAAATACGAAAATTCAATACATTTTTCTTATATTTTTATATATTTATTAATTTTTTGAAATAATTTTTTCACATAAAAAAATTGTAAAAAAAATCTTTTAAAAAATCACTAAATATCAAAAAATACAAGAATTCAGTACATTTTTTGTATTTTTATGTATTTATTAATTTTTTTATATATTTTTTCACAAATTTTTTACTTTTTAGATACTTCTAAGTAAGGTGCATCTAAAAAGTAAAAAAAAATGCTTAAAATTTAAAAAATATTCACTAAAAACAAAAAAACACAAAAACCAAAAAAGTCAATTTTCAAAAAACTCAGAAAACTCAAACCAAACACAGTGAATGTAACTAAACAAGCCCACATTTTTTCTCATTTCTGATAATAAGAAGACGAAAGTTTAAAGATCTTATTAGACATCAATGTGTCCTAAAGTTTTTATCATTCAACAAGTTGAAGAGTGATGCAGATCAAGAACAAAGCCATCGCAAAACAAAATCCTTCCACCACGCACACCCACACAACGAGAGGAAGAACAAAATATTACCTTCTCACATCTGAGAAAGAAGAGACGATTCTCCTTCGAGAGAATTGTGTCTGGGCTCTTGCAACCATTGCAAATGACGTACTCATCTGCACAATAAATAAACAAATTGAATCACTATTCAAGAATGCTAATGAGCACACAATACAAATGTTTAAAATGCAGAGGACACAAGAATCCAATGTCAATCAGATTTAAGCCTCCAACAGGTAGAAAAAGGCACAAGTTAGCAAGAAAAGAACCTGTTTCTCAGTTTTTACACCCACATTTGGCAATTATCTTTATCTTATGTTTCTAACATTAGTAAACAGATGGAACTTACTGACATATCTCCGCAGGATCCCCTCAAAATTTTTTGGTGCAAATCTGCCTTTCACAACTAATCTTTGCTGTCCATCAAGTGATCCACTTGTCCCCATTTCAGCCAGCAAGAAGGTCATGACATGCTCTGGCTGCCTATGCATCCTGGAGTGCAGGTGGAAGTAAAAAGGTGACAAAAAAAATTAGAAATAATAATAAATAAATAAATAAAAGAGAACAAAAGGCAAAAAAAACATCTGTTCGAAGGAGTTGGCATCAAGCAATATCTTGAAGATAAATAACATTAGAGAAATACGAAACCAATCATAAATTCAATTGCAGAAACCGTCAATATGGCACACTTCATGCTGTCTGCATGTGTGAGAATAGATGGCTGAACTAGCATATCCAACTACAGGGTAGGCATAACACAAAGCACAGCAAAAAATTAAAATACTTGTTCAGTAAACCCAATTGAATTCTTAAATTCCCTTTGTCCAAAATATCAATAAAATTGTCGTTCACATCCCAAAGTTCATTCCATTTTACAATCAATCTAGCCCTGTTCAAGTTTCCTTTTCTTAGCAATGAATACTAATACGACTTAAATGCTTTGCATTTCTCATAACAATATATTAGTATGAATTCGATGTATTGTATTTCTCAAATTAGAACATGTATTCATAAGCATGGCATAAAATGGAGACAAGTAATAACCACCAAATCCAGATCCTTCACACGATGATTTCAACACACATACACAATGCAAATTCATAAATAATCAAACTACGCATACACACACATTAGACGGGACCATAGGCATAGTAAAACAACATCTATCAAGTCCAAGTAGCCTAGATAAAGAATAAGTAATATATCAGGAAATCAAAAAGATCTTGGCCATACGTCTTGCAGAGATCCATAAAGTTTACAAACACAGTTTTCTTGGTGCCTTCACGAAGAACTTGTGGAGGCCTCATGACTGTTCTACGTCTATCCCCAGCAAGCTCTGGATTATTCTCACGTAGGATATTGAACACACGACCCAGAAGCTGCAAACATTTTAATGAGAACATAATTAGATCTGATAAGAGAAAGTAACAATACTTGCTCAAATTAGTTTTTCGTAGATGCATAACTCCTTCAAGGCGGGAACAGACAGTTATATGACAGACTTAACACAGAATAATTTTAAAGAAAGTCCAGAACATATAGCAGGGATAAAACATTGCAGCAGAATCATCCTTCAGTAACTGGCCATTATTAACCTTTGACATCAACAACATATACGTGTTTCCAGTGGCAGATGCAAGTAAGGACCAGGGGGGTCATGTGCCCCCCCTCAACTTTTGAAAAATTGCACTTTTGCCTCTAGTCAAAAAAAGTTTCAATTTAACCCATTCAAGTATGTTATTAAATTTTTAAATCACCAATTTCTTTACCTTTTCTCTTCAAAAAAACTTGTTTAATATATTTACTATATGTGTCGCCAATTTTTTTATATTAGAAAAATATTATATGTCATAGAGTTTTTTGTTATATCACATCTTATATGAATACTCATAATTAGTTCCTTTGATTCAAAACTATAAAAAAGGAAAAATGAAAAAAAAAAAAGAAAAAGAAAAAGTGATATATTGCAGTGTCTTTGTATTATTTATTCACCTCTAATTTCCATTTTTTTTTCTTCTTATTCCTATCTACATCTCTTTTGTGTGTGCAACTTAATATAATTTCGTTTTCATATTTTATAAAGCATGCAATTATTTTTTGAACCATGTAATCATCATACATAAAATCAAATTAAAAACAAAAAATGATTAAGATCGGTTAACTCAAGCTTATATTTGAATATAAGCTTTGCATTACAATGGTTTTTTATTCCTACCATCAAATAAAAATTAGGTTAAGTTTGATTGTGATTTTTGTTAAGATTTCAACTCAATGGTGCCCCCTCTGAGCCAGAATTTTGGCTCCGCCACTGTGTGTTTCCATCTTCTAATGAGAAGAGAGTACAAATGTAATTGCAATACGATAATTAAAATTAATGGCAATTAACATCAATCATTTGTAAAAATCATATTCAGGTTGGCAGACCCCTCACTAAATAATAAAGAAATAAAATTGTACTTGTCAGCACATCCACATCATTCATTGTATTTGCACATCCGTAATACAAACCAAATCACAAAAAATATATATGTATCATGGGGCTTAGTTATAGATTAATAAACATCACAAGGAATTCTAATTTAAACTTTAACAGGAATTTCTTCAACAGCCACAAACAATATGTTTAAGGATATTTCCAAAAGATTTATCAGACTAATTGAGTGGAAAGTGTCCGGACAACATTGTGGGACAATCACGTCAAGCCAGCACCTAAAGCTACACAGTGGGTAAAAGGCGCTGCTAGGCAAATGTCAGGCCAGCCATTTGTACGGTTCATGCTAACCCTAACCAGCCAGCTAAGAATCAAGTGCTAGTTCAGACCAGCCTAACCTCCACAAGCAACTTAATTTTCATCTAATAAATCAATGGTCGAACTTTAGATCATGCACATAATGTGATTCACAACTTAGGTTCTAACTCTGATATTAGAAATTTGATTATGAATTTGTAATTACATTAGCCTAATCAGATCCAATCTCAACATTACTTGGCTAACTACTAGTGCCAGGACACTCACTCCCTAGTGATTTGAATATAACCAGTAGTAATTATGCTCTTCTAAGCTTGCAAGCAAATATAATCACAAACTAGATTGACACAAGGCTATCCAATGTGTACTGACTCGCCTCCAACAATTATTTAGTGTGGGAAAGCTTTTAAAGATCAAGTCCAGTGCCTTCACATCTAGCACCCCAAGTTTCCATCACTTGAAGATGCCCAAAGCCAGGCTTTGAGCCTTGTATGGGTAGAGCTAAATGTCAGGCAACCCTTGAGCCCCAACACATGGCGGCTTTGTGGATGCAAAAAACAAACATTAATTGCATCACCCATAATGTTACATTTGGTCTCATTGCCAAATGATACTAACATGACTTGGAAGATATTAAAGCCTCGTTTGGGAACAGGCTAATTTAGTAACTTTTTGGCTATTTGGCTAAAATATGAGCTAAAAAAAACTAGTATGTTTGGGATGACTTTTTGGCTTTTTACGAAAAGATGTGCAAAAAGTAGAGAGAAAAGAGAATCTTTGACTTTTTTATATGGGTTATTGGCTTTTTGGCTAATTTAGTAACTTTTTGGCTTTTTGGCTAAAAAAGAGGGTTCCCAAATGAGGCCTAAGAAAACCTCAAAATCCATATCAGTAAGCAGTGAACACTAAAATTTCTAGTATTCCAACAACAATGATGCAAACCACATATGCATATACAAATAACAATCACAGGCATAATATAAGAATAAAGAATGAGTCTCGCCCTAAGTTATTAGAGAAATTGTTAGGGACACTGGCACTCCTACTAACACACGCTCAAAAACTTTTTGTGAGTCCCACACCAATTGATAGTGGGCTCCACCAAGGCTTATGAGTCTGCTAGCAAGATTGTTAGAAAGCATGTTCCTGTCCCTGGCATTGTTGAATATTCTAGTGATATAAATTACATTGTTTTGGCGGAAGAGAAAAGGGGGCTGTACCTCCTCATATTCATAATCTCGGTCGCTCCCTTCCCATGGAAACTGCGGTTGCAAGATGATTCCTTCTCCTTCTTCATCCTCACCAATATGATCTACAAAGTGCACGGAAACTTCTTACATTCCGTTTACAAATGACAAATATAACTTCAACCCACCAGTTAATTAATTGCAAGTGTTGATTACAGAACTTCTTACCATCAAAATCATCCCCCAAATTTTCTTTCTCGTCACTCAAGACATCAGTCTGCACCTGAAATAATTTACCAAGGTCACCAGCACATCGATAAAATTTCAGCATAATTCAATTTGTTTAACGTAAACATCATGATAACTCAATAGACATGATAAAACTCACTGGTTTTTTCTTCTTCTTTTTCAAACCAGAAAAGGTATTCTCAAGACCATCAGACACTGCAGGCGCAATGCATGTCTCAAAATTAACAAATTCTTCAACAAAGTAAAGCAAGTCTAAAAAGATAGGTAAATAACTTTACCAGTAATTCTTGGTTGTGAAGTTCATATACCTGATAAACTTTCAGTTTTCTCAGCCAACTTGTCCACAGCATCATCATCTGCAGGATCTTGAATTACAACCTTCTTCTTTTTCTTCTTCTTAGTAGGATCAAATGGGGAAATCTGCAATGTAATTATATATTAAGACCTATGACGCAATGCTAAACTCAAGGTATCATCTAGCAAATTTCACAAGAATAAATACATATACACTAATCTGATAGGCTTATGGGGGTTGAGTGGCACAAAATCATAAACCAATGGTTAACACAAATATGATGCTTCATCCAAGAATAAAAATATTTCATGTAACTAAAATCAAGATGAGACCTTTGTTTAAATTGAGCAACATATTTTAGGTATGCAATAATGCAACAGTTTGTTTCTGGCAATGTGAAAACAAAATACAACATTCAAATGGCCCAAATCAGATGACATCCTAACTTTCAGTGTTCGAATTTATTACTTTTCCATAAACTTGTTGAAAGAATACTTACCTTCACAAATAAATGCAAGAGAAAATATTCCAAAATCAAGTATGCTACGGGTTATAAGTTGTGTGGTGGAGTCTGGCATGGTTGGTATCATTATTATTATTTTGATACGTTTTGGTAGCTGTTTTGTTTCCGCAAAAATGGAAATTGTTTTCAAAATTTCAAAATTTGTGGGGGGGGAAAAAATGTTCTCATTTGTTTTGAGAAAAAAGCATCCATTTCCTCCTCCCTCCAGCCACTCAAACGTCACCCTCCAGCCACTCTAGCCCCTCCAAAAATTCACCAAACATGTGCTCTTGTTTATGTTTTAATTTGTTTTGGAAACATATTTATCTGTTCTTTGTTTTGTTTTTTTTTTCGCAAAACAACAAAATCATGTTCTTGTTTGCATAAATAAAATGAAAACAAAAACCTGTCAACATTACCAAACATTGCCTAAGGCCTCGTTTGGGAACAAGCTAATTTAGTAACTTTTTGGCTATTTGGCTAAAAAGGTAGGTAAAAAAAACTTATATGTTTGGGATGACTTTTTGGCTAATTACGAAAAGATGTGCAAAAAGTAGAGAGAAAAGAGAATCTTTGACTTTTTGGTATGGGTTGTTGGCTTTTTGGCTAATTTAGTAGCTTTTTGGCTAATTGGCTAAAATAGCCTCTTGCCAAACGAGGCCTAAGTTACTCCCTTATACTTTGAAATTGGCAACAGATGAAAACGTACCTCATGAGTCATGTTGTTCACTATGTCAATTCTCATTTTGAAATACTATTTCAATCAAACATTCTTTTTTTAAAACACAAAAAATAGGATATGTTACACAAGAAAACCACACCTCAAAAATATAATAAAACAACATAAAAGCACTAATTTTAGTGAATGTTTTAAATAAGTAAAGCATCATTACATGTCTATATATACATATAGGTAACGTAACATTAGATCTTGTCAACAAACCACAAGTTCAAGGCATGCCCGATAGCATGTGCATTACCTAGACATCTTAATCGCGAGTCACAACCCAGTCCCTAATACAATCACATAACAAGCCCAACAATATATAAGATACATATAGATTGGGAACACTGAAATATTAATTGTGCCCATTTCACTAAACACAACAAAAGGGACAAGTGTAACAGTGAAAACTAATAAAAGAGCAATCATGTATGACCACAAACACAACAAAAAAACCATTACCCTGTAATCAATTATCCCCCAAAAAATAAAACATGATAATTACACGAATAAAAGAAACTTACATCTGCCACATCCTCCTTCACTTCATTTGGAATTTCTTCGTCAGCCATGATTGAATCAAAATCTACAAGAAAGTAACAAATCAAATAAACAAATACACAGAAAAGAACAACAAAATCTAGTAGCTTCAATTCAGAGGAAAAATAAAAAGTAAATCAAATTTGCACCTCAAAACAAACAAGTTAGATATGATTGGGTCTAGATATTAACAGTAACCTGACTTTCATTAAATTAAACCCTAGATGAGAAAACAAAAAAAAACATTAAATTGATTAAAAATACAAAAAATTCGAAACCAGAAAACATTCAAATATGACTGATTGCTCAATATTTGATACATACGATTGATTAATATAATTCGAATACAAAAGTGCGTAGTGTTTACGCACAAAAACGTGTGGAAATACTATACATATCCTAAATCAAAAAGCATGGAATCATATTGAACTTGACATGAAATTCAAAAATTAGATCAAATAGAAGGCTTAAAGACGAGATCTATTTCGAAAAACGTTACCACCGGGAAGAAACTGTGGAGGGTGTGTCTCTCGCGAAAAGAACGATGAACTCTGCTGAACTGTTATTAGGGCACCTTGTCTACCAAAGTAAGGCTTCGTTTGGCCGAGCCTTTTTTTAAATATTTATTCCTTAAATTAAAAAAAAAAATGCTATTAACAGACCTTCAATCTAAAAAAAAACAGTTATTATTCACCCAAAAAAAAAAAACAGTTACTTTATTTTTTTGAATCCCTAATTTTTATTTTTTTTTTATTACAATTATACCTTAAAGTGAAGTTATATTAAGGTCTTATTTGTTTTTAGAAGTAAAATGGGGGGAAATTATAATGAGGAGATTGTTAATGAAGGAATTGAATAAAATTGTATTTGTTTTGATGATAATTGTTAGTGTATAGATTGTTAAATTATTTTTACATAAAATAAATATAAAATAATAAAAAAAAATAAAAATACAAAAATATTAAACTTAATATTTTTAAAAAAATGCCCAACATATAAAAAAAATTAAAAAAATAAAACAATAAAAAAAATTCAGAAAAAATAAAACAAATAAAATAATGATTTTTACTTAACAAAAAATATAAAAAATTAAATATTAATGTTCAAAAAAAATGCTCAACATGTAAAAAATAAAAAATTTCTAGTCCAGCAGACTATTTTTCTAATACCAAATCTTGAAAGCCCATCTGAATCCCCTCCCCAATGGGATTTATAATCAGGAGCTCACTATCAATCCTCTTCTCATTTCTCAAAACAAACATAATGTTAGTAGATCTCACCTCACTACCAATCACAATCCTCCCCATAACTCTCTAAACAAACGGGGTCTAAAGGATAACTTTTAATAAAACACTCATTCACCAAATAAAGACTATTAGAATAACACTCTACAATATTGTCTATCAACTTGCAACCCCACCAAACCATTGGACTGTGATTGAAATCCATCTTCATCACCAACTTAAACCCTAAGGTGGTGTTTGTTTTGAGAGATTGTGGGGGGTGGGATTGAACTATTAGTCCATCCACTGTTTGGTTCAAAATTTTTATGCTAGACTATTTCTCAAATTCATTGGATTATTGTATCCTATGAGGGGGATGGGACACAAATAGAGGGATAAGGGAGGACATGGGATTAGGTGGTGAAATGACCATTTTAACTCTCTACTACTTAATTATGTATTATATTTAGTAAAATTCTATTATAATTTTATAATTTTTATTGATGTTTTATTTATTTAATTTTTTAAAATAATTTTTTATAGATATTTTATTGATGTTTTATTTTGAAATTTTGTTTATATTTTATTTAATTTCATTATTTAAATTTTAATAGATGTTTTATTTAATTTCATTATTTAAGTATTATTATTTTTTTAAATAAATTTATTTAAAATTTTAATTAAAAAATAACATATATTTTTATTCATATTTTATTTATTTAATTTATTTAACTTTTAAAAAATAAATTTATTTAATTGTGTAAAAAATAAAAGAAAATAAATTTTTATTTAATCTAGTTAAAAATAATTACAATATTAAAGATATGTTTAATATTGCTATTACTTAGTAAATAATTAAAAATGGTAACATAGTCATTTGAACATTTATCATTTTCCATAATATTCTAAACAAACATAGGATTCATATCCTATCCAATTAAATAGTCATTTCTTGACATCTAATCCAATGACTAAACAAACATGGAATCCAAATCCAATCCAACCAAATAGTCTAAGAACAATGTATCTCAGGATTAACAATCTGGTAGATTACAATCTCCCCTTATCCAATCTGTCCAAACAAACACACCCTAAACGTATTTTTCTTCATCATCACCTTAAATGTATTCAACTTCATTGTTCAAGTCGTTTGATATTGCACGTTCAAGTCATTTCAAATTGTTGCACTATTCATACCACATATCAGTTTAAGATTTCATCATTTGTTAATACTTATAGAGCAATGAAGGACAACGATAATGATTCTGATGAGGTTGTCATTGCATTGGTAAGTTAATTATCTTGCATTATGTTTTGTTTGAACTTGATCAATACTGGTTTGTGAACTGTTAAGGTTTTGTTCGGAAGATGGGTTCCGAATAGTACTGCATCTAATCAACACTAGTATGCCGAATAGTTTGATTTTGTAGGATTTTTCCCCTACTTGTGTTTTTTTTGAGAGTTTTTACTTGTGTTTTTTCTGAGAGTTTTTCCCTCTAAAACCACCCTGTATAGAGGGTTTTACTTCGAAATAAACCAAAAAAGAAAAAGAGATTTCTGGCGAATTGATTGAGAGGTTACCTAAGATGATGTCATTCACTGATAATGGCTTCGAATAAATCAAAGAGAACGAGATGGATTGTTATCGTTCTTCAACAGGAGAAGCATCGTCGTTGTTCTTCAACAAGAGAAAGTGTGTAAAATTAGGAGGGTGTGCACTTAGATGTGATGATATTTTGAATAGGGATAAAATTGGTATTAAGTGAGATGTTAAAAGAAATCTTATTAAAATTTAGGATTTAGGGTGGGGGTCCAAAAAAATAAGATAGGTGTTAATAGCAGCCCTCATTACAAATATACTTCCTAAAATTTGTTTAAAATACAAATTATCTCTTATGATTTTGGAAAATACATCTTACTCCTTCAGATTTTTAATTACATAACAAATTATCTTTTTTATTAATAAATCATTAAGTTAGTTTATATTTTTTAGACTGTGTTTGGTTAGGAGATTTGAGAAGGGATTTGGAAAGGAAAAGGGAAAACGTATGTGAAACTAGTGAAATATAAGTATATTTTATTCACGTTTTACCTATCTTTTTCCTTTCATTTTCAAATCTTTTCTCGAATCTCCTAACCAAACACAGTCTTAATGATGTCAAAAATATATTTCAATTAATAATTTTGATTTTTTTTTTGGTTACATAGAAGAGTTGTTAGGAATTTCATATTGTCTGTTAATTTTGTTAAATAAAAAATTTCTGATAAGGGGTATTTGTAATTTTTAAAATTATAGAAAACAATTCAAATTTTAAACAAATTTCAAAAAAAAAAATTATATTATATTATATTAGTCCCTAATTATTGGAGATGGTCATTCACCAAGCCAGGTTGGGCTAGCACTATCTAATAAGGGATTTTATATCTGCCCAAACTTGCCCGACACAAACATTGGACCTACATAATCATCTCCAGTCCAGCCGGATACGGGGTCACTACTGTGACCCCCACTATTGTTTCCTGCTGTGTTTAAAATGGCACAACTTTAGCCTCTTTTTTTTTTTTCATGAGTCTCACTATGTTTTTTGGCGTGATAAATTACACTTTGTCCTAAATTCTAAACCCTAAACCTTAAAATAAAAAATAATAAATTTTAATAATTAAATCCTAAACCCTAGAATAAAAAAATAATTTAAATAAATTTTAAAAATTAAACTCTAAATCTTAAACCCTAAAATAAAAAAAATAAAATTTTAAAATTAAACCCTAAACCCTAAACCTTAAACCATAAATCCTAAAATAAAAAATAAAAAAAATTAAGAATTAAACTCTAAATCTTAAACCTTAAAATAAAAAAAAATTAAATAAATTTTAAGAATTAAACCTTAAATCCTAAAATAAATAAAAAAAAATAATAAATTTTAAGAATTAAACCCAAAACCCTAAAATAAAAAAAAAAATTGAAGAATTAAACCCTAAATTCTAAACCCTAAAATAAAATATATATATAAAATTTATCATGCTAAAAAACATAATGAGAACATAAAAAAAATATAAATAAAAATAAAAATAAAAATTATGCAAGCATAACAGGAAACATTGCACAGCAGTGACCCCGCCTCGAGTCCAGCGCTAATATAAATTATAATTTCCAAAGCCGTCTATCAAGCCTTGTACATAAGTTATTAAGAAAAACTAAACATTATAGTGCCTATTATTTTTTCATAAATAAACTAAGACCTATCGAGCAACTAACAGTTAGATATTCAATACCATATTAATTAAAACATTATAAATTTTTTTTAAACCAAACACACCCATAATTCTATAAGCTCAAAGTTTTTAAAACCAAACTATTAGTAGTATATCAAACTGAAAAAAAAATTAAAAAAATCTACGGTTTAAATTTCAAACTTCTTCCTCTTTTTCATTATCATCTTTTGAAGAGCTAGAATCACCATTAAACATTGTTTCTGATGATACTAGTTTCCTACATTATCACAAATAAATTATTAACATCAATTAGAAAACTATTCAATTAAAAGGGTATACATATTTTTAATACATTATATCAATTAATTTATTTATTAAATTAAATATGCAACGAGTTGGGCCAGGCAGAAGTACAATTTTCAAACCCAACCCATTTATTAATCGGATCAACTCAACCCAGCCTTATGGACTAAAATTATATTCTCAAATCCTAAAACTATAGGGCTGGGTTGGGTGGGCCAATGGACCGATGCCCACCCCTTCTAATTATATGTTTGATAATAGCTTCTAAAACGTAAATAATAATTTTAATTAAAAGAATTTAGCAAAACGATAAAAAGGGATAGAAAAAAAAATAAAAATTTAAAATCAGGTCTCCAATAAGCTTAAGGCGATGTTTGTTTCGTAGATTAGGTAGGGTAGGCAAATAAGTACGATGAAATTTAGTGATGAGATTACTAGTATAATGATATTAGGTTAGAGATATAAGATAAATTCTACTTGTTTGTGTACTAGTGTGGTGGTATTAGTTGGTTTAGATTAAATTTATAAAATTATGTAAAAAAATTTATTCTATAAAGAGTGTGTACCATATGCACATTAATTACGATTTTTGTGGTCGTTTGTTATGACTTATTGTAGTATTAGTTACCACTCTTGTGGTGTTAATTATGACTCATTGTGATGTTAATTATGACATTATTTTAATTATGATTCAAAAGATATTTAGTTATCTTATGTGGTATTTTGTTATAATTATAATTATTAGTATTATTTTTTGTGTATAGTTTTGACTGAATGAGAATTTAGTTGTGACATTTGTAGCATACAACACTACAAAATGAGACTTTGTTTTTTTTTTGTTGTTGTTGTGAAAATAGGATAATTAGTATTTCACCTTCAATTCTAGGGGATT